GAGTCCCAAATACTTGTCCTGTCTTTTTAGTCTTTGTTTTTTTTCTGGAATACTTCCTCAGTCTTTGTCTCTGACATTGAAATTTTTGAGGTGTATGATCCAGCCATTTTGTAGAATGTCCCTCAGTTGGGGTTTGTCGGCTGTTGCCTCACGAGTAGATTCAGGTTATGCATTTTTGATGGGACTCTGTAGAAGCCATGCTGTAGCCTCTGTATCACCTCATGAGGTACAGGATCCCCATTTTGAGTGTCTTCCTTGCTGCCATGTGTTCCTGAAGGCCCCTAGCCTACCTTGATTTTCTCCACCTTTCCTGATAACCTCCTCCCCTGCCCACCCTCAATCTCTTTGTAGCTTCTTCGGTTTCTATGACGCAAATGAGACGGTCTTGGAGATGGAGGAGCAACCGGTGAGCCCCCTGGGATTACTTCCCCTTTCTTCATGCACTGCCCCACCTCTGTAGCCCTCCCTGCCGCCGACCCTTGAGAGCGGAAGGGTTCACCCTGTCGGGAGGGGACCTGGGACACCAGCAGGAACTCATTTTGTTTCTCCGTCTGTCTGTCTCCTGTGACCCTTCGCCCACCCTGAAGGTTTATCTGCGGGATTCTTTTGGGTTGAAGACTCTCTTGGCCCGGGGAGCCATTGTGAGGTGTCCGATGGCTGGGATCTCCCACACGGCCTGGCACTCCAACCGTACCCTTTATGAGGCCTGCATTGAACCCTGGCTCTCCTGAGGATGTCCTCAGGGATCCCCCAGGAACTCCCCAGCCCAGAGACCAAGCGGTGGCCTTGGAAAGCAGATGTCAGGCTCCGGTGTGCCTGTGACCACCCCATTGCTCCCACACTGCCCGCACCAACTGGGGCTCCCAGGATCCCTTCCTCTTCTCCTCTGTGAATGACGCATCCTGGTCTCCCGCACCTCATGTCTGGGGTTTGCTCCGTGCTCTCTCACCCTCCCAAGGCCGAGGCTGGGAAGAGAGAAACCAGGTTTTGAACTTGCGGCTACTCTGCTGCTCCTCGGTCTCGGGCTGTACCGGAGGAGAACCCGGCCCCTGCCTGCTGCGGGGGTCTCCTTCCAGGCCACTCAGGTCATTTTTAGCTTCTGTTCTCCCCATGTTCCCTTTTCCTCCGCCCTCCCAACTCCCAGGAAGGACTACCCATGAGAGTGGGGTTCTGAGGCTCCCCTATGGGGACAGTTCCGTTCTTGAAATGTCAGTGTTGGGGATTATCTATGGCCTGTGAGGCCCATCTCAGGTTTGGGGATCCCCCCAGTCCCTATGTTCAGTGTTGGGGTACCCCCTGGGAGCCTAGTTTCTTTGAGGCCCCGGCCCCTCTTTTAGCTACCATTGAATGGGTGTTAACCCTGTATTAATGGAAATAAAGTTCCATTTCTTCAGTGTGGCTTGGCTCATTTCCAGGTGAGGGGGACCTGGCTCCCCAAGGAGGGTGGGGATGGAGAGTCTGAGGTCTGGGTGCCCGGATGCCTGGTCTGGGGTGGGACCCCCTTGGTGTTTCCGCTCTCTAAATGCCCATTCTGTGTGGGTTCCTGATTCTCTGTGGGTTCTTTCCTGCAGAGGACAATTCTCTTCCTGTCCCAGCCTAAGCTTGGGGGGCTGAGCCCAGGGCTCCAGTGGTTTGTGCCCCAGCCTCATGGGTGGAATGCGCCTGCCACCCCCAGGCTAGACGAGGGGGCTAAGGGTCAGGGTGGGCATTCGTTGTACCCCTTTTCGACCTTTGTAGGCCACAGTTGGGTGAGGGGCTGGACAATGAGCCTCCTCTTCCTTGAAAGAAGGAATTTTGGTGGAGACAATAGGGCCCTGTCTACTCTCGCATGGGGGGTGGTGGCTGACTCAACTCTGCCCCCCACCCCAGGCCCTAACAAATGTCATCAAGAAACGGGGAAATTTCCCCGTGGTGCCCTGGGCTGTCCCCCTGCCCCCCTTGGCCTTTTGTGACGACTTGCCCTCCTTTCTTTCTTCAGCTGATCTTGCCTCTTCTCCATCACCTGACCCTGCTTTTCTCTGCCAGTTCTGTCTCCCTGCCCCCCACTTCTCCCCCAGTCTGTGTTGGGTTGAGGGGTGTGGCAAGGGCCAGGGGTACCAGTGGTGTTACAGAGCCAGTAGCCTCTGCTGATTTGGGGAGTCCAGAAATAAGGGGCCTCAGAGGGTTGGAAATTTACTTCTAGGGGGCCCTTCGCTGGGGTGGTGGTGAGGGTAGTGGGACTTGGAGCCCACTGAGCGGATCAAGCAGGAACTATGAAGGCTTGTGGGAGGGGGCAAGAATGGGAGGATTTTGTCTGGCCCAGCCCCTCCTCTCCTTCCCAGCCTGCCCAACCCGCCCACCAGTCTGAGCTGCTGCTGCTGAGGCTGGTCTGCTTGAAGTCTCCCGGAGAGAGGGAAAGACAGGTGGGGAGACCATGTCAGTGGGGGAGGAGCCTTAGAATGAGTGTGAGTTGTGTCCGTGTTGGAGGTAGTAGGGATGTATTTAAGGTGCATTTTCTAGGTGCATGGTTTTGGGTGCGAGGGGGTGTAATGGTGAATATCTGAGGCTTCGAAGATAGAAAAATTAAGACAGAAGGGGGCATGTTACAGATAGGAGGGTCCTGGGGGAGAGTTAACTGTGTTGTGCAGAGGGGAGGTGGAGGGAGTGTGTTGGGGTGTGCCCTTGCATGATGCTGCGGGGACCGTGTGCGCTGAACGAAGGGGTCACGTTAAATGTACATGCAGGTGTAGACGATGCTGGTGGCTAGTGCAAGTGTGTACAAATGAACGTGCTGACTCCCTTAGAGGGCACTAGCCGACTGCTCTTGGAGGGGCTGGAGCTGGAGCTTACAGGAGAGGGGAAGGGCCTCCATTAACCTCTTCTTGCCTGCAGCCTGCAGTTTGGAGTCAAGGAGAATCATGGGGTCCAGGGATGAGCTGTACACTCTCTTAGGCGGACTCTCGTTCCTCCTGCTACTGATGTCAGTCCAGGGGGCCAAGGGTGGATCCCTTAAAGAGAGGTGATGACAGAGGGGGCGGGGGCAGGTATGAGGTCTTCAGGAAACCGGCTGGGGATGGGACTTCAACAAGTGGCAAAACCATGAAGTTTAGAATGGGGGTGGGGCTGTCACCCCCAGGGAGGGTCGGCCCTCAGTGGAGCCTTGAGGGGAGGGGGATTCCTGGCCCCCAGGGCCTGGCCCACTCAGTGTCTGTCTCTCACCTTCTCCGGCCTGGGTGCAGTCAGGGGGTCTGCTCCAAGCAGATGCTGGTGGTCCCCCTCCACTACAACGAGTCCTACAGCCAACCAGTGTATAAGCCCTACCTGACTGTGTGCAATGGAAGGCGCATCTGCAGCACCTACAGGTGAGGGTTAGGGAGCCTGGACTCTGCAAGTCTTTCAAGAAGAACTTCAAGAACCCAGACCAAAGCCCATAAACCAACGTTCAGAGCCAGGCCTGTATTCTAGGACCACATACCGAGTGGCGTGGAGGGAGGTGAGGAGGGAGGTGCAGCAGACACACGTTGTGTGCTGCCAGGGCTGGAAGAAGCGGCATCCGGGGGCGCTCACCTGTGATGAAGGTGAGACTGGGTCTTCCCAGGCCTGGGGACGGGGCGCGCTGCAGAGCTGGGGAGGCTGGCTGTTGGTCCTGTTTTGAACCGCCCTCCTGCACCCACAGCCATCTGCGCCAAGCCCTGTCTGAACCGAGGCGTCTGTGTCAGGCCAGAGCAGTGCGAGTGCGCCCCGGGCTGGGGTGGGAAGCACTGTCACGTGGGTGAGTGGCCCCCCCCCCCCAACCCCGTCCCCACCTCCAGCATCGCCAGGACCTCACCACCCTCGGGGAACCAGCTCGCCCCCACCCTTTAGCCCTCTCCTCTTTCCCTTAACTAGACGTGGATGAATGTAGGACTGGTGTCACTCTCTGCTCGCACCATTGCATCAACACGGCAGGCAGCTTCACCTGCCGCTGTCCCCGAGGTCTGGTGTTGGGCCCAGATGGGCGCACCTGCACAGAGGGCACCCTGGAGCCCCCAACCGGTGCCAGCGTCCTCAGCGTGGCGGGTGAGTGGGAGTATGGGTGGCAGCGAGGGCCTGGGCTCGACTAGGCAGTGGGTGACACTCTTTTGTCTCAGTTCGGGAAGCAGAACAGGAGCGCGTCTTGAGGCGGGAGATCCGGGAGCTGCGAGCGCGCCTAGAGCGGCTGGAGCACGTGAGTGGAGATGGGGGCCAAGCCCTCCCGGCAGGGTGTGTCCCACCCCAACACTCCTGAGGTGTCTCTTCCTTTGTAGTGGGCTGGTCAGGCCGGGGCCTGGGTCCGAGCTGTGCTGCCCATGCCACCGGAAGAGCTACAGCCGGAAAAGGTGGCAGAGCTATGGGGCCGCAGTGACAGGATCGAGTCTCTCAGCGACCAGGTGCTGCTGCTGGAGGAGAGGCTAGGCGCCTGTGAGTGAGTCCTCCTGCCCCTCTCTGCTTGAACCCTCATCGCCCAATAGCTGCCCCCAGCTCTCCGAGACACCTTTCCCTAGATCGCTTTTCTCTTTTCCCCAAGCCCTTCCCCAACACTTCAGTCTTCCCATACTGTCCCTAGATATCCACACTTCACCCATTTTTCTGGTGCCCTGTCCCCAGTCCACTTATTGTTGGGTGAGAGTCTCTCCAGTGCCCTGGTAGCCCCAGAAGTCTACAGCCAATGTGTCTGCTTGCTTCCTTGTCATTCACCAGGCTCCTGTGAGGACAACAGCCTGGGCCCAGGCCTCAATGGGCCAAAAAGGAACCTCTCCAGAGCTCCGGTCCCCTAATTTATACAGAAACTGGCCCTGCTAATCCTGTGGGATCGGCCAGGTGGGGAAGTGCAGATAAGGTTATCTGCCACTAAGGAGCAATGAGTGATGGAAACTTCTAAGAGCTGAAGGAAGGGGGGGGAAGATGGGTGCCTTAGGCCCACCCGAGTCTTCTGGCTGGGGCAGGTTGCCTGGGCGAGAACTACTTTAATGCCTTCACAAATGCAGCCAGAAAGTGCCCAGATCTCTCTCTCTCTCAGTCTTTATTCTCGGTTTCTTGCTGTTATTCAGATAATTAATAAAAACCAACCACGCAAAACTGGGTCCCGCCCTCTCCTTTTGCTCCCAACCCACCTCCCCAGTTTGTGGGCACAGGTCTGGGGTGGGAGGCAGGAGTGGTTAATGCCACAGGGAGGAAATGAAAACTGGCTCAGAGAGGGGAAGCCTCAAAAGAAAGAGAAATAAATTAAAAGCCCTCCCATCCTGTCCAGCCAGGGTTCAGTTCCTTTCCCCAATTCCCCAGGGAGCAGAAGTGATGCAGCACCTGATGTCTGCCTCTTCCCTTGTGTGTGGTTAGAATGGTACAGCAGGGCTGCAGGGGGCTGGATTGGGGCCCGGACCACTGAAGAACCGTACCACAGGGACAGGGGGAAGCAGAAATGTGGAGACCAAACTGGCATCTAGGAGTATGCCCACCCCTGGGCACCTGGGTATGGGCAGGATGAGACAGACCTCTGAGTGAGAAGAGTCCAGCCTCCACTGACAGGCTCCATGGGAGGGAGTGTGAGGGTGCTGAAGAGTGTTCCCAGGATAAGCCAGGAATGTTTCAGGCCTTGCTTCCAGCCACAGTGTGAGGAGTCCTCACAAATGGATAAGTCCACTGAATCCATGGACTTGTGGGAGGGTATTGTTCCACAGAATGGATGAGTCCACTGGCCAATGTGGGGTGGAGAGGGAGCGGTCACAAAGGAGGAGGGTCCACCGGGGGAAGGATGGCGTGTTCCCGCCCTCGTGTGGGTGAGCCACTGGAGATGAGGGGGGAGGCAACCGTCCCACAGACAACATGGCACAGGAGGTGGGTGGGGGTCAGAGTGGAGACTGCACCGAGGCAAGAGAGTCCGTGGGGGAGGGCTGGGAGGGGGCAAGGAGCGGTGCCGTATCCACATTCACTTCAGAAGTTGGAGACTCCCAAGAGGAGAACAGTGGGGAGAGGAGAAACAAGGGAGTGGATCAGGGCGCACTGGGCGGGCAGGTGTGGGAGGGAGGTGGGGGGGGATGGGAGGGGAGTTCAGAGCCGGGCCTCGCCCACCCCTCCAGACTTCTTCAGATAGTCACCACCGCCCCGGCCATCAGTGGAGATTTCCCGGAAAACGGTGAGCATGGAGTGTCGGACTCTGTCAGCCAGAGCTGGGACGTCATCTGGTGTCAGCCCTTCTGTGGGTACCGGGGGCAGCACCCGTACCTGACATCGCCCTGGGAGGGGGTGAGCACCATCATGGCCCGTCGACTTGGGCCTTTGCCCGCAGGTGGGGCACAGTTTCTGAGCTCTCCTGCTCCTCCCTCCCCAACCCTTCAGTTCTCTTCTCCCTACCCCGGACAACTGGCCCTGTGCTTGCCAGCTGCCACCTGGTCCGAGGCCCTCCTGCGCAAAGCCTTCCCCACGTGCCCAGTCCAGACACCTCCTCAGCACCCTTTCAGCCTCCATCGTCTCAGCTTAGCCTTTACTGCCAAGTGTTACTACAGCCTTGTGCACACAGGCCTTCTCTCTCCCACTGGACATAACGGCCCCTCCTGGAGGGACCGCGCGTTACCCGTGTAGCAGGGTATGGTGGGTGCTTAATAAATATTTATTGGTTGATGTGCGGTCACACTGGATGATCCTTTGGACATCTCAGTTCTGACACCGACCCATCCTCCTCCCTGGTGGGGCCAATCCCTCTAACCTCTCTCATCCATGGCCTTTCCGGCCACCCCCAGCCCCAGGTCTACTCAGAGCCCTCACCGGAAGTGAAGCGGCGCTCCTTCTTGCAATAGAAGTCTTGATAGGAGGACATGACTATGGGGACAATGGGAACCTGGGGGAAGGGAAAAGCAAACAGACCACAGTTCCCTTCCAAGGCCCTATGACAAGCCTCTGCCAAGAAAGGATGGTGGAAGCTGGGGGGCTCAGGAGCAGAAGGGGAAGTAGTCGTTACCTGGGCTTGTACTGCAAGGTGGAAGGCGCCACGTTTGAAGGGCAGCATGGAGCCATTGTGGTTTCTCGTGCCCTCAGGAAAAACCCAGACCCGCACCTGGGGAACCACACACAGAGGGGTCAGAATATGGTTGTGACGCTGTAATGGGACCTCTGAGGCCCGCTGGCCCTGCATCTCAGTTTATTTACAACTGCTCTACTCCACAATGCCCCGACCCTCCTTTTCCACAGGGTGACTCACGTCCTGGGTGAGCAGGGTCTGGGCGACTTCAGACATGACACTGATGGCATCCCCTGTGCGCTTCCTGTCGATGAAGATGACTCCTGCCAGCCAGCATGCTAGCCCAGCAGAGCCAGCCCACAGCAGCTCACGCTTGGCAATGGGCACACAGCGGCCTGGCAGTACCTCCATCATCCCTAGGGCAAAGGTGGGGTGGGTGAAGGGTGAAGGCCAAAGGAGGCAATGTCAGGGTAAGTGGGGCATTGGCCACACTACTAAGGACTGGAGATAAAGGAAAAGGGAGACTGAGGGGAGGAAGAGGTGATTAAACATATATTAGCCCGCCTATGTGGGTGAGAAGGCCTGGGGGGGGGGCGGGAAGGGGAGAAGGGAGCCAGGGGGCAAAGTTGAGATGAGGGGGAGGTGAGGACCCCTAGAGGAGGAGTTTCTGGGGAAGGAGGAAGGGCATGGAAGGGGTGGAGGGGAGGTGTGCCCTACAAGGGATCTCACCAAGCAGGTCCAGCGAGCTCTGGTGGTTGGAGACCACAACGTAGGGCTGGGAGGGAGGGAAGTGGTGAGCCCCGCGCACCTCCACTCGGATCCCATATAGGTATTTGATGTGCAGCAGCATCAAGCGCAAGATCCTGTGGGGTCATGGCAAGGGGTTCCAGCAGGACCCACCGCGGTCCGTCAGCAGGCCTCCGTTCCCCCATCCCGCTGTCTTTCCAGGCATCTTTGCAGTCTTCTGGACTTCCTTGCCCCTGGGCTTTCTCTGCTTTCCCTACACACCCCACATCCTCCCCATCCACTGCTCACTTCTGACTCGGAGGTTCTCTCATCACCCAACGCCACCCCCCCGCCCCCGCCGGCCCTCACTTCATGTTCTCGACGTTTCGCCCTCGCACGGCGCACACGGGGATGGCGAGCACAGCCAGGAAGAGGATCCAGCCGTTGTAGAAGGCCATCTTGAAGAAGTATTTGGCACTGGGGCTGCAGAACCACAGGGCGGGCAGCAGGAGGGGCAGCAGCAGGAGGAGGAGCAGCGGCGCGGTCCACACCCCTGGCCACAGCTCCATTCTGGCCGCCTGCAGGGGACAGGGAAAGGGACAGTGGGCCTGGCTCCTGGGGAGGGGCGAGAGGGGCGGGCAGGGCACAGAAGCTATGCGGACAAGGGCCAGAGACACAGGGTGGGGTCAGGGCTCCCAGCAAAACCTGCCCAGGAAGCCTCTCCGGGATGGGGGTGCGGGGGGCTGGGAGCTCAGGACTGCTCTCCCACCCTTCTCCTGGAAGGCTCCAGAAACATTCACAAAGACAAGAGACATGAGACGCGGCCATCCACAACTCAGACACACGATAAGAGGACAGTAGTAACCGCAATAGCTAACACTTGAAGCTGGTAAGGTCTTAGGACTGACTGTCTAGTGCGGTAGCCACCAGCTACATATGGCTACTGAGCACTTGAAATGTGGCCTAGTTTGAACTGAGATGTGCTGGAAGTGTAAGATACACATTAGATTTCAAAGACTTTGAATAAAAAAACAATGTAAAATAGCCCACTAATAATCTTTTATATTGATTACATTTTGAAATCTTAACCTTTCAGAATACTGGCTTCGATAGAACATATTATTAAAATTAAATTCATCTTGTTACTTTTTACCTTTTTTGATGTATCTACCAGAAAATTAAAAATTACAGGTGGCTTGCATTATATTTCTGTTGGGTTAGGGCTGATCTACAGACTATGTTAAACCCTTAAATACGAACCACACAATTTACATTTTATAGGAGATAGGCCCAGAGAGGTTAAATAACTTACCTGAGGTGACACGGTTCCTAAGAAGCACTTCCTCGTTTAAACCTAAGCAGCTTGTATTCCTAACCACAGTTACGCTGCTCCCGTATATATACACAAAGGTGTACACACAGCAGATACAGTTAAGGGACAGAACACCCACAGACATTCTCAAGAGCACACTGGCTAGAATAAAGGCTCTGTCACTAATGCAAACACAAACCCACACAGTCATACAAAGACTGACCTGCTCACACCAGAAGGCAAACTTAAAATCTCGCCCAGTAACAGATGAAGGAATGTGTAGTAAATGCATAACCAGAAAAACCCTTCTCCCCCAAGGTAGCCACCCCCACCCCCCTTCCCATTCCCAGATAAACCCACGGACATACCAGGAGTAGCTACCATCTATCAATCCTGCCTCCACAGGCAGGCAAACAAATCCTTTCTGCCCCCTTCCCCCCCTTCCAGGGATACTGCAGGCTACCTGGTCAGGCAGACACAATACATAAGGCCTGACCAAGTGAAAAAAAAAAAAGAGGGCAGAGAGTAAAAGAGACATCACACCACCTGCCCGGGGAGAGGAAAGAGTTCAGGAGGAAGAGGTGCAGGCAGGCGCACAGAACCTGCCTTCTAGGTTCTTCCTCCTTCCTCCACTCTGCCCCACTGTTGGCGGCAGGGTCAAAAGTCACAAAATGGTGTTCAGGGAATACCTGTCACTCCCAGCAAGGCTACAGGCACTCCCTTCCAATGACAGGAAGGTCTGTGTTCAAAGGTAAGTCCGTTGCCGATCAGTAAAGGTTAATAAATAGGCACTAGAGAAACAGTCGTCCACATGGCAACCACAGAGATCTTTCTGTGACACAAATCTGAGCATTTCCCCGTCTTGTCTACAGGCCCTTTAGACAAGTTGACTTCTGCTTCCATCTTCGGCCACACCCCCACAAAAGCCTTTTTTGCGCCAACTCCAGTTCCTCAGACACACCACAATCTTTCATGCTTCTGTGCTGTGAACAGGCTGGAATGCCCTTCTGCCTCTTCATTTGCCTCACACAGCTCAGCCTCACGCTTTGGAAGCTTTCTTGAACCCCACCTGGCCTGAGTTTTCATTACACTTTTACCTTGATCACTGGTTCTCAAAGTGTAGAGATGCATATTCTTGGACCTCACCCCAGATCTCCTGAATCAGAAATTCTGGGCCTTGGGCCCAACAATCTGTATTTTAACAAGCCCTCCAAGTGAGTCTGGTGTGCACACAAGTCTGAGAACCACTGATTTTGACACCACAGTGTATGTAACTGCTCACTGGCATTTCTGTTCCTTCCCCAGTCTGTAAGTGGCTTGAGGGTAGGAACTCCCAATACCCAGGATAGAAGGAGGCAGAGAGGGGGCTCAATAAACATCTGTGGAACAGATTATAAGGCTGAACACATAACCACACAGCCATAATTAATGACAGAGATGATCAGGAATCAAATAGCTACACTCTTGAGGACTATTAACTGTGAAAAGATAAGTCACCAGAAAACAATGAACATAAGAAGCCTAACAGTAAATCTACTCTGAATATGCACATACAATATCCGGTCACATTGAAGGGAAAGCACCAACAATCAAGATAGCGCATCCCATCTCACACAGAAGAGAAACATACAGAATGGGGATTAACATGCCACAGGGGAGAGATGCTGCTGTCATCAAATACATGCCAACAGTGCAAAAAGCGTGGGGAACAGATAATGTGCACAGCAGGGCTGACCCTGTGGCATGCACTGAGCTCCATGCAGACAGGCTGTCCATAGTCACTGGAAAGAGAAAGTATGTGAAGAGACACAGGCCAGGCCAGGAAGGTCAGCAAGGTAAGGCATATGGGGATGGTTCTCTGGGGACATGAAGGCCCCGTCACCTTTTTCTCTAATACACGACATTAAGTGACCCTCTCCGGAGCAGAAATGTCCAAGGATTGATAATTAGTACCACGGAGTGCCAAATGGGTTAATGTGAATATGACTCACAAAAATATACTGCCAATAAAATTATGAAATAAATAGTATGTGTAACCAGAAGCACAGATGCTGTGGACATGTCACATCAGCATAAACATGATAAATATGTAAAGGAGCACAGCACACATAGGTGTGGTGTGAACCCTGACTGGGAAAACACATGCAGCACACAGGTCAACCTGATCACAACAGGAGTGTGCACTAGTCAACTAAACCACAGGATCTCACACACGAAGACTTACTGCATATGACAGGATTGTGGACATAATATATGATATATGAACCAAAACCAGTAAGGGATAATCTTTACATGCAAAAGTAAACATGCAAAAGCATAAAATGTGCAAGAAACATGAAACCACATAATGGATGCAATATATAAAAACTCACACATTTGAACAATGTAAAGACTGGACAAGATAGGAGAATGGGCAATTCTGATGGAAAATAACACATCATTTCTCCACAATCCATGGATAGCATAGGGAGAAGCTAGCCGCACATAAGCCATTAAACATGTCAAAGGCACACAGACTCAATGTAGAAAACATGGCCCCCCACAAAGCATCTGTGTGTCAGTAAGGATCTAGCCCAGTGTGGATGGCCACTGAGAAAGGTCCCGTGCCTAGATGGAAACAGAGGTGTCTGAGGGGATTCCTAGGAAGCAAATTCTGCTGGGGGAAGGAGGGCAATAAACCTCCTTCTCCCGGCCACAACCCCCTAAGAGTCATGTGGGGCCAAAGGGCAGGAAAAGGAATTGGGGACGGTGTCAGGAATTCCCTCTTCAGGACTCTCTGTCCACACCCCCATCCCAAATTCACAGGGTCTCCGGGTCTCTCCTCCCTCTGTGTCTCTTCCATCCTTCCTCCCTCTCAGGGCCCCTCTCCTTTCCCCAGCAACCCTCTCCCCAGTCCACCTCCCAGACCCAATCTCTCCCCCATCCCCTCCTCCAAGTCCCTCTCAGCACCCTCCTCCCACTTCCTCCCATCCCTTTCCCGCCCCCACCTCAGTGGGGTGGGGGGCCCGGGGGGCTGGCCCCCTCCCCAGCCAGGCTGCGGCAGCGGTGGTGGCGGGTGGCTGTGTCTCTGCCTCGGTCGGGGTGTCGGTGCCAAGGGGGCGACAGGATTTGGGGGTGTCCTAGCCCCGGCCGATGGAGGGGAGGTGAGAGTGGGAGGCTGGGCCCATTGCAGTAGGAATGGTGGGGGGGTTGTCCCCCCAGCTCCCTCCCTCCCTTCCTTCCTGCTGTCTCTCTGAGGGCTGGGGCTGCTGTTGCCGCTATCCCCCCCACCCCTCCGCACGCCTGCTGGTTTCCGGGGCTGGCCAGGAAGTAGGGGGCGGTGACGGGCGGCCCGTTTTGCCAATCGCCTCCCAGAAACGCAGGCATCTCCCCCCGCAGCGACCAGTCTCCTCTTGGTAGCTCCGCCCCGCGAGAGCTCCGCTGGGCTCTGCCTGGGTCTCTGGCCTTCTCTGGCTCCAGCTGCGTCTTTTTTTCCTCCAACTCCCTTTCAGTACACATGGCTTGTGTATCCCTTGGTGCTGTATTCCTTCCTTGGCCCATTCCTTCTTCATCAGCTCTCCTCTTCCCGGAAATTTCACTTGGTTTCTTCCATTCTCCTTAACTCCCTTATCTGCTGTTTATTCCCTCCAACTCTTCTCCAAATACCTCTTTCCTGTCCCCCATTCAATTCCAGATATTTTCAAGCACCTACTATATGCCAGGCACTGAGTTCTCCACCTGTCGTCGTCTTTCCAGGGCTCCATCTCCCTGACCCTCCAGCTCTCGCTGGTTCTCTATGACTTTTGCCCTCCCCCTACCCCGTAGTCCAGCTCCCTCCTTCAACCCCCTCAGGTCTTTAAAGTGAAGGGATACTCTCAGACCGTCTCCCTGCCGCTGTCCTCCCACGCTCTTTATTTAACCTCAGTACTTTTGCTTTTCTAGTTCCTTCCTATCGGTCTTCTTAGTCATTAAAGCTGAGACAGTCCCTCTCCCCAACACAGAATCTGAGCGCATCTTTTCCAATAGAAACTGGGCATTAGGTTGCTTTTAAAAAAAAAATTAAAGAAAAAACGCTAGGTTACTCTGGGATGCGCATGCCTCGTTAATTCTGTAGTCCTGTATCTCTTCCCTCTCCAGTCCCTGATCTCTTCCCCATACTTCCATTATCCCTCTACCGGGATCATTCCGTCACTCCTCTCCTTGGTTTCCACCTCTTCCTCACTAACTTTTCTCCTAAACCTGTACAGGGATCCTGTACCTTCACCTCCCGCTCCCTCCTCTAGGCAACTCCCAACCTCTCACCTTTCCTCACTTGAGTCACGTGGGACCTTTTATCTGGGTGTTGAACTGCCCTCAGCCTCTGTCTGTCCCCGCTGCCAGACACACCTCCGCCCTGCTTGAGTTTACACGCCCTGAAGTAGAGGATGTAAAGAACACTGGTAGTGGGAGGACTGTTACCTAGTTCTGCTCCTTGGGCCACAGTGAGGATCACTGACTGTAGAAAAGGCCCAAACTCGTACAAAAAACCCCAAGCTCTGGCTTGCCCAAGTCCCAGGGGTCCAACCCAGGAGGAAGACCCCAGTTCTGCGGGACACGCTACAGGACGGAAGGGGCGGGCCTGACCCCATTCCACCGCGCGTCGCCCAAAAAGGGGCGGGCCTTAGCCCCCTCGGCACCTACTCACAAAGGGGTGGAACTAGGTCTTTCCTGCTTTTAAGGTTTAAAACGGAGTCGAGATCAACTCTGTCATACTGTGTCACGTTAAAAAGGTGCGAGCCTTTAGTTCTGTTCTGCAAATCACCTAAGGAGGAGCGGGCTGAGTTCCCCAGCCGAGGGAGATGGGTTAACACCAGCGCCGCAGATCGATACTCGCACCATCCAAACGTCGAGCTGATCCCAGTTCTGCTCCCTTCTTCACCAAAAGGGAGGGGCGAACCCAAGTTCTGCTCTCTACGTCACCGAAGGAGGCCGGAGCCATTTTGAACCCTGTGACCCTAGTATTTGCTCTCTTGCCGAGCTCTTCGCCGTCTTTTCCGATCTCGGCCAATCAGGGGTGAAAGAAACTGCCCAATCAGCCTAGAGAGACCACAGCCGGAGGACCCGGATGAGGCCGAGCCAAGGCCTTTGAACCCCAAACCCCGCCAATCGTAGAGCAGTCACCATGGCGACAAGACAGAGGTGAAGGGGTGGGACCAGAGAAAGCTTAACCCTCACAGGATTGGCTCACCCCTTCCCGCCGCCTGCTGCGCACGCGCATTTTACCTAACCACCATTTTTCCATCGAGTTCCGGCCAATCAAGTGCTTTGGAGCCCTACGCTCCAAAGTCCAATAGGAATCCGGGCATTCTCTGAAAGGGGAAGTGAAGGAAAGAAAGGGGGCTTGTAATAGGCGAGGCCTGATGTAGTCCCGAACCAATTGCTTCTGGCCTTTGGTTATGACTGGCAGCTAATCAGACGAATAAATCTCTCCCTGGTCGGGCGACGGGACGGATCGAATTGTTACCAATCCCATCGCATTGCATACTGACTGAGACTGTATCAGCCAATAATCATTGTGCAAGGGCCGGACTGCGCGAACCTTACCCCTACCCTCTGGACCAATCATTTCTTTTGAACTGTGTGATTGTCAGTCATTCAGGCCAATAATGCTTAGAAAACCTTGAAGCCCGCCCAACGATCGCGGGCTGGAGGCGGTTTCTCGTTGTTGGGGCGTGTGTGTGTGTGTGTGTTTGGGGGGATTAAGGGGTACGTGAAGGCGAAATAGAACCGGCCATGGCAGCAGCAGAGGAGGAGGACGGGGGCCCCGAAGGGCCAAACCGCGAGCGGGGCGGGGCGGGCGCGACCTTCGAATGTAATATATGTTTGGAGACTGCTCGGGAAGCTGTGGTCAGTGTGTGTGGCCACCTGTACTGGTGAGAATCCGGGAGGGGGAGAAAAGAAGTTGGGCTCACCTCCTTACTGCGGGGGCTGGGGGCGGACTGGCATGCAATCATATAGATAATCGGAGGGCACATCCCCATCGCAATCGGAGGGCACATCCCCATCGCTGAGGCCCGAGGAGGGGACTTACGTCTCTTTGGGTATGTGTGGGCGAGAGGGTCATGTCTGTACAGAGGAGACCCGTGGGACGGAGAGTCATAGGAACGAGGAGCTGAGGGGTATGGTGTGTTAAGAGGAAATGGGGCGGGGCGGGAGCACAGCACATCTGTACAGGTGAGACCCGAGCCACCTTACCCCAGAAAGTGAGGGGTCTTAGCTGTACAGGTGTTAACAGATTAGACTCAAAGGTTAGGGGAGGCACGCCTTATTAGTTGAGTAGGGGAGACCTAGGGAATCTGGGATCACAATCAGATGAGATATTGGTAGGGAGTGGTATGACAAACCTGAGGACAAGGGCACTGAAGGGGCAACCCAGAGAAGTTAAAGGATGGTGGAAATAGGGACTTTATTGAGCGAAGAAGAGAGGAAAAGGAGTAGTGGGGGCAGGTGCTAGTAAAGGGGGTTTGGTTTGGGACTGATAGGGGCAAGGGTGGGGCTTGGGCTGAAAGAGGAGATCTGGAAAGCCCTGGTTGAAGAAACCTGAAAACTTAAGTCGAAAGGCAGAGAAGGGAGGGGATGGGTGTGTGAGTGTGTGCGTGTGTGTGCACGTGTGCGTGTGTGTTGGGGAAGAGAAGAGGGTTGAGCATGTTGGGGATAGATACTGCTTTACATGTTGTAAGATCAGAGAAGAGGGAAGGCCAAATTGGCTGGTTTGGTAGAGGTTGTCACAACTATGAAAAGAAACAGTAGGTAATACCTGGGAAGAGGGGGTGAGGTCGGACTCTGTGAGGTCGGGTCCGTGTCTGTCTTTTCTGTAGCTAGTTTGACCTTCTTTTTTTCCCTCCATCCAGTTGGCCCTGTCTTCATCAGGTGCGTACTCAGAGGAGAGGAAGAGGGAAATGGGGAGGTCTGAGGAGTTGAAAGACCCTGCTGTGAACTGGCAACCACTTCATTTTCTCCCTCAGTGGCTGGAGACGCGACCAGAGCGGCAAGAGTGCCCAGTGTGTAAAGCTGGGATCAGCAGAGAAAAAGTGGTCCCTCTTTATGGGCGAGGGAGCCAGAAGCCCCAGGACCCCAGGTGAGAGAGAGGCGGTGGTGCTGACGTAAGATGGAGGGCTTCTGCCCCAGGGAGTGGGGCGTGGAAGGGGGAGAGGACGTTCTTGTGGCTAGCCCCTCTCCTATTCTTCAGATTGAAAACTCCACCCCGCCCCCAGGGCCAGCGACCAGCTCCGGAGAGCAGAGGGGTGAGTCTTGTCCAATTGTGTTCCTTCCTTGTCAAAGACCCTGCCCAGTTCTCTGACTTTCTCCACCTCCCTAGGGATTCCAGTCATTTGGCGATACCGGGGGCTTTCACTTCTCATTTGGTGTTGGTGCTTTTCCCTTTGGCTTTTTCACCACTGTCTTCAACACCCATGAGCCGTTCCGTCGGGGTACAGGTAAGAGCCTTCCCTCAGCTCAGGCCCCTCCCCAACCCAGGAGTGGATGCTTCTTCCACAGCTTTCCTCTCTCCTACAGGTGTGGATCTGGGACAGGGTCACCCGGCCTCCAGCTGGCAGGACTCCCTCTTCCTGTTTCTCGCCATCTTCTTCTTTTTCTGGCTGCTCAGTATTTGATCTTTGTCTCCCTCCTGCCCACCTCCAGCCAGAGGAGAATCAGTATTGGGGGTCCTTGCTGACCCTTCCTTACTCCTGGCCCCTCCTCCCCAGCTCCTCCATTTCTAACGGCTAAGGCCAACCCTGGCCACTTTCTAGGAGGGTGTGGGGAGGAGTGACATCTGTGCAGAGAATAGGAGAACCTTCTGCTCTGAACTCACTGAGGAGCGTCGTAACTCCCAACTCTGGTACAGGAGGACAGAGAAAAGAGAATGTCTGTTTCTTCTCTCTCCTGATCCTTTGCTTTCCCCCCACATTTATTGATTTGATATTGAAAGATGGGCAAGGCTCCCTCTGACTCTCCCCTACTTTTCCCCTGTTAATTTAACTTAATTTCTCTCTCCCCAGTGTCTAATATGGGTTCTGACTCTTAAGTGCTTTCTTCCCCTCACTACCTCCTTTATTATAAATTCAATAAACAAGGTGAGATATATTGATGGGAGCTCTGCCCACCTTTGTCCTTACCTCCTTCCTTCCAGGACAGGAGCATCTTCTCCCCAACTTGAGTAAATATCTGTGTGGTGTGGGGAGGTGTGAGGGTGAACCCCTCTTCTTCAAGGCTCTCAAGGATTCAGGGGGTGAGGGTGTCTCTCTCTCTCTCTCTCTCTCACACACACACACACACACACACGTGCACGAGAGCAAACGGGCGAGGTGTTTACTTATCACTATGGGAGGCTCTGGTTGTGGAAGCAAGTTTGGTGAGGTGGGGTACAGGTTATACAGGGGAGAACTGCTCTGGGGCCAGAATGGAGCAGGGGGAAGAGAAAAGGGGGCTGATAGATGGGGTCTAGCTGTGTGCCCCTCAAGGCCGTGCTGCGCTGCTCTCAGCTGCTTCTGGCTCCTCTGGCTGATTCAGCTCTGCGCGCTCCTCCTCCTCCTCCTGGTTTTCTGGGGCCTTCCTGGGGAGGGGGATTGGGGAGAATTCTGCACATGGTTTCTAGCACTCCACGATTCCTCCCACACACCCCTCCTTGCTGCCTGGAGGTCCCAAGCCTGAGGGGTTTGGCTTTCTTCACTCACCTCTCCTCTCTTCCACGTCGCTGTCTCCGCCACTTGATGGCCCCAATGAGCAGGGCGGCTATCCCCAGGCCTCCCAGGATCCCCAGGACCAGGGCTACAGTTCCCAGTTCCTGCCCTTCCACAGAGCCTGTAGAGAGATGGGGAGAAGTGAGGGCCCCCACCTCTCACCATTCCTTTCTTGTCGACCACCCATCCCCCAGTCAGGTTGGGGCCATCTGCTTCCAACCCCTCACCTGCGATCGGCCCCTCCTCTGCTTCTGAAAGACAAAGTCAGAGCGAGTTAGAAGGGAAGGTCTCAGTTTGAGAGAAGGCTATTCAGTGGGAGCCCTGATGGAGTCTTTCCCTTTTTTTCAGTTCAGAGGAGAGAGGGGACCGGCTGGGCTGCTCTCTTGGGAGGGTTTGGGTGGGGCAGAGGAGGCCTGGATGGGGTGCACTGGGGAGGGGTGGGGTGGTTCTTGGGGACAGGGCCAGGATGGGCTAGGGAACTGAAGTCTACACTGTCCCTTAACCCAGCCCCAGGATCCCTGGGGTTTGGAGAGAGGTCTCCTCACCGACGATGACACGGACAGCAGGGCTTTCCTGGGGCCCATGGCTGGGATGGGTGGCGATGCAGCTATAAGTTCCCTGGTCCTCACGCTGCACCTCATGCAGGAGCAGCACAGGGCTGGGGGGAAGGTGCAGGGGCGTGCCCTGGGGGGAGCAGGGGGGCAGAGACTAGTACAACATCTCCACACATCCCACACGCCTGTCTGTCTTCGCACCCGCAGATAGTCGGTCGTCTTCCCCAGCTCCTTGCCTGCCTCTCCATGGGCCTCCTGTTCTAGTTGCCAGTGATGTGTCTGTCTACTTCCCGGCCCCCTCTCCAAGTCACTCACATCCTTGATCCAGTGGATTTGAAGGGAGGACTGGGTAGGGGTTTCACAGGTCAGGGTCACGGTACCACCGAGAACTACTTTCCCACCTTCTGGCTGTACCATCACTTGGACCTCCGGAGGCACAGGCTCTGGGGCAGAGGGCATGAAGTTGAGAGTTATACCTGTGTGTGGTCCCAGTGGCCGTGGGCTTAACTCTTCCCTCTCTGAGGGCCTCCACTCACCCCAGACTCTGAGCTGGATGGGGGCCGTGTGTAGGGCTCGATGCTGGGGAAGTCCAGGGCTGAAGCTACAGGAGAAGGTGGGGTGGGGAGCTCCTCCCCAGGCTGGGGTCACCGTCAACTCCGACTGGAGTGTGAAAAGCCCTGTCTCAGGGTGTCTCCTGGTCTCTTCCTGCACAGACACTCCTATGGCGGGGAGGACAAGGCAAGATATCCTGGGGTGGGTGTGGGAGAGGGATCAGAAAGAAAGCAGCTGGGAGGGGGGACTTTGGGACTTACCGTTGCCATCAGGTATGAGGGGTTTCCCGTCTGAGTGCCAATTAAGAGTCCCTGCAGGATAGCCCCCCTCGGACACACATGTCCCCACCTGGGGAAAGAGTGACCTTCATCATCTTTGAAAATAAGAGACACCACACACACACACACACACACACACACGCACGCACACAGCTTACACCCCCTTCCTCTTCTCAGAGCTGCTTTCTACTGCCCCCCTTTTCTTCCACTACCTTATTGGGGGCACCAGCCATGAGTTCAGAGGCAGGATCGACAATTTCTGGCTTCCCCGGAATCTCTGAAGGAGGGAAAGTTTCAGTCAGAGGCTGCAGCTTTGAAGACTGTCACGCATGGGTATGGGATCTGGGGCCGCTGAAGTCACAGGTTCTCACACACCAGGGCCAAGGAGTCAAGGGCTGGGGTTGAAGGATTTTCCTTAGATGAGAGGTGGGCCATGGAGAAGGCCCTGGAACTCTTACGGTAGACTCGGACTTGGTAGGCAGACCTCGTCTCCTTTCCATTCCTGCTTGTTGCCCGGCACTGGAAAGTCCCCTCATCCTGGATCCCTACTGCCGGCAGGAGGAGGGAGCCATTGGGGAGCACTCGAGCTACGCTATCCCAGGAGCCTCCCTGGGGAGACAGGACCTTCCAAGCTTCTGTCCGACCTGTGTTCTGGGGACAGAGGAGAGGGGCCTGAACAGTGCAAGTCCTTTGGGAAAGGACTCATGAGACGGGGAGGTGGGGAAGCGAATCGTTCCTGGTCTCTGGGACTGGGGAGGCTGTGGCAGGAGCCCTGCTTACCAGTTTCCATTCCAGCTGTTGGGGTGGTTTCTTGGGGGCCCCCCTACAGTTCAGCACCAGTGGCTTCCCAATCCGGGCTGTGATGTTTCGGCCGCCTACTGCTGCCCCTGGGAGACGGTACAGTGGTGGAGGGGTAGGAAGGCAAGGCAGGGGGGGCTAGACTAGGACAAGGTGGGGGAGGGAGCTTGAAAAGCAGTGCCTGGGTTCCAGGAAAGTTCTGGGCAGATTTGGGGAGGGGGATGAATTGCTTTCTGTGGGGAGGGTTGGTGTGTTGGGGGGGGGAGTGGCTCACCCCACAGACTGAGGACCAGCACCCAGGCTCCCGCTGCTGCCCCTGCTGCCATCCTGCTTCCTCCCCAGGCTCCTGGCTCTGTCTGCCGGGCACTGCTGTGGCCACCGCCCTAGCCCTAGGTGGGGCTTGCACCCTCTCCCCTACCCCCATCTTCCCATCCTCTCCCGCCACAGGGAATGCTAGGAATTCATGCTTCTTGGACAAGAGTCCTTCAGGTACGAGGAGAAACAATTATCACCCCACCCTTAGGCACTGCCAGTCTCTGGGCACAGCCACATCCTTGGGGGCAGGGAGTGGACCTCCTAGGATCTGTCATTACTCATGGCCCCCAACTCATTCCATCAGTTCACTGAGGGCTTGCCTGGTGGATGACTGGAGCCTCATACTGCTAAGGTCAGGTTGGGCAACAGGGTTCAGGCCTGGCTGTCGTCCTTGGGGAGGGTTTCAGATGAACCCTGGAGCCTGGGTGGTGAGGGCAAGGCTGGGAGGAGTCGGGGGAAACACCTGTTTGGGGCTTTATGAGAGATTTTATTCTGGGGTTTCTCATGTTTTTGAAAATAATGCTCCACTAAACCCAGGGAAAAAAGAAATTTCTTTATTTAAAACTGTTTTTTTTTTTTTCTTTTTTTTCTGTGAAACTACAAGTTTACAAGTGAGGAGAGAACTGCCCCCGGCCCATGCCTCCCGCCCACCACCCATCACACATCTAATCTGCTCCCCTCCAGTCCTGTCTGGACCTTTGACAGGAGAGGTTCCCCACTATGACAGTCGTATAAAATCCTGAGGATGTTTGAGGGGCTCAGATGGTGGGGTTCTGGCCAAGGATGGGACATCGGTGATTTCACTTTCCCCCATACCTGGCTTTTTGCAACCTCCCTCCTCTCTCTCCCCACCCTCTTGATTTTGGACTGAGAAAAAAAAAAATGCCTCATTTCTGGGGAAATTGAGGGAGATTCATATACAAGCACCCCAACCCACATTTAATATATTTGGCAATAACCCCTTTCCCATTCTTCCTCCTCCAATCTGCAAATAGTAGTTTAAAAAGAAGATTTAAAGACATGTCACTCACAGGGGAAGGTGGCACTTCCTCAAAACTACTGAGTCCAGCCCTGCCCAAGGGTTGCGTGTGTGCGTGCGTGCGTGTGTGTGTGTAGGGTGAGGGGGATACGTCAGCAGAGCAAGCCCCTGACTACCTCCACACCAAACACAGCAGAGAGCAGCCTGCATAAGCAAAGAGCACATAAGTGATTTCGGGGGGAGGGGGCAGGCTTGGTGCCCTGCTAAACACACTTTCTGATGGACAGGACTGGAGCCAGGTGGGCCTCTTTACAAGTTTGTTCCCCTTTCTCTTATGACCCCTTTGGCTATCACCCCTAACGTGGGAAAGCAAGAAATTAAAAAAAAAAAATCAATATATTTATAAAAACATCTACTTCCCCAAACTAAAAATTAAGAACCGATAACAGCAACAAAAAATTTATAAAGTACAAATGGATCCCAGGGTTTCGTTTGTTTCCTTTAAAAAAAAAACAAACAAAAAACAGTCAACCCCAAAGCCCAGTCAACAATTCCCTAAAGTAGCAGAAACTCCCTCCGAGGTAGATATCTGAGTCAGACACTCTCGTCCACCGAGCGATTCTATTGGTTTAAGATGAGCTGCGTATGAGGTAATAAAGCCATCTGGAGGGGCAGGGGGTGGGGAGGCACAGGGTTCATGGCCCATGTCCTCTGTCCAGAAGTTGTGTCCCCAGTTTTGGCATCTCTGGTCAGGCAGGGCTGGCTTCTCCACAGATTCCAGAGCAGATAAGTGGGGTGGGGAGGGGCAGTGGGGGAGCCCAGAGAAAGAGACAGAAACGGAATATAGTATGGCAGGTAGAACAAAGGGAAAGCGATCTGAACAACAGGATTCTGGGTGTGTGGTTTGTGTGTGAGAGAGAGGGAGAGGAAAAAAAGACTGAAAAGGGGAGAGAGACCCCACTCTCCCCTCAGGGGCCCCCATTCTCCCTGCCACGTAGTCAGCACCGCCAGCGCTGGAGAGTCTGGTCAGGGAAGGGAGGACCCCATTGGCCCTTCTCTGTCTTGTGCTTCTCCTGTGTCTGGGGTTTGTCCTCTGGATGCCTGTGTCCTCTTCAAGAGTTGCCTTGTGGGCCCCCACCCCTGTGGCCCTGAGGGGCAAGATCAGTTGGAAGTGTCAGAGTGAACGCTCCCTGGTCCCTCTGTGGGAGAGGTCACTGAGGACGGGGTGACTGCCTCCTGCCAGCCACCATTTGCCTGGAAAAAGAGAGAGTCGGTTGGGGCAGGGCAGTCTGGTGTGGGAGACAGCGCTGCCAGGGGAAAGGCCATCCTGTCCGGGTGAGAGGTGGACAAAGGGAGCATCGGGTGTCCACTCACCCTCATTTCCCGAGGGCTGTACATCTGGCCTCCCCCAAGGTTATCCCCGTAGCCCCCTGGCCCCATTGAGTGTCGGAGTGATTCCACCTGCAGGCAGCAAAGAAGGGCATGGCACAGTGAGGAGTCTCGTACCCTGAAGAGAGGGAAACCGAGTTTGGGGAAGCCTTACTTGAGGGGAGGTGGACCACCTGACCTGGGAAGCAGAATAGGAATCTCCGTTGAGCCCGGGCATCCCCAGAAACATGTCTCCAGATCCTGAGAGATTGAAAGAGCCGCCAGAGCCTTGGGGGAGCAGAGAGGGGAATTAGGGAAGAGTCTAACAGAGCCTGTTATGGCAGACAGGAAACACCACAGTTCTCTGTTTCCAAAAAGCCCTCTGAACTAGTTCGGGGGTGTGCCACTGTACGCAACTTATCCCTAAGACATTGCAACACTCAGAGAAGCAGGCCGTGTCTGGGCCTCCCCCTTCCTCCCTGGCCACTTGCTGGAAGACAGGCAGAAGTAACTTCACTGGGGTGCCCTTTGTCCCCTGACATCTCTACCCCATCTCAGCTGGGTCCCTCTCACCCCAAAAGGCCCGCTCTCTGCTGTGATCCTGCCTAGATAGGAAGTATGAACAAAGGCAGGAAGTGTGCAAGATAGCCAGCCAAGCTGGCAGCGGGGGTCCACCTGCAGAGGAAGGGGGTGTCGGGGAGCTGGTGCGGCTGTGGCCTCCCTGGGTGACTGACACGGCGGTCTTGACGGCATAGATGTTTGCCTCCTCCTGGAACTTTCCAATATTTTTCTTATAGCGAATCCGCTTGTTGCCAAACCAGTTGGAGACCTGTGGGGTGTGGAGCAGAAAGGAGGGTCGGGTGCAGACCTTTCTTCTTGTAAGCCCCTCAGTCAGTACAATCAGAGAGCTTTTAACCTGAAAACTACTCCCCCACCCCGAGCCTCCCCAATACCTGAGAGACAGTGATTCCACACTTCTTGGCAAGCTCCTCCTTAGCCTCCTCACTAGGATATGGATTACTCAGGTGGGAGTAGAAATACTCGTTGAGGACCTCAGTAGCCTGTTTGCTGAAGTTGCGGCGTTTTCGTCTGCAGAGGAGGGAGATTGGTGGTGAAGAGGCCGGCTGTCCTGGCAGGGCCTCCATCTTGCACCACTCTAGAGGGTGCCACTGCCACGGAGTATCATGTTGTGTAACGTGGTGGCCCAGAGGCTTGGAGAAGAGTGGGAAGGAGCCCCACCTCGCATCCAAGAAGCGGGAACGCAGGATCATGACAGCCTCACAGGTGCTCTGCTTGAGCTGCATCTGGATGGCGCTGAACTTCCGATGGATGATGCTCACCATGCGCTCCATCTCCTTGGGTGCCACAGGCCGAGTGCGGCTCTGCTCCCTCAGCAGGTTCATGACGTGGGTCGTGAACTCGTTACATGCCTGCAGTGGGGGCCAGTGGCTGTGAGGAGGGGCCCTCTGGCCTTGGGATGCCCCGCAAGAGCCTTTCCTCTCACCCACTCCAGCCTGGTCTCCTCACCTGCTCATACTTCTCCAGCTCTGAGTGGTAGATGTGGCGGATCTGGGCAAGTTTGCTGCGATAGTCGGAGTGTTCGATGGAGTTGTCAGGGGACACGCCGCCCCCGGAGGCTGCAGCGGCTGCAGCTGCTGCCGCGGAGCCCCCCCCCTTCTCAGGCCCAGCCACACCCTCCGCCAGAAGCATGTTGTCCAGGCGCATCAGCTGTGGGTCCACCGGCTCCTCCTCTTGGGAGCTCCGAATGCTGAGGCCTAGCATGCAGGCGAGTGAACTTAGGGACCCAGGGAACCCACAGCCAGCGCTCAGCCCTCCTGTTGTCTCCTGGAGACCCAGGTTTCCAGGCTTCAGTTCCCTCCCCAATTCCCCTTAGCAACTTCCCTAACCCCTACTGTCCTCAGGGCCCCAAGATGTCAAACTCTTGGCCTGAGTCCTATAAAGAACAGGGTTCAGTCCCCAGAGGTGAGGAATCAGTGGGGGACCCACATACCGGTTTTCTCCTTGATTTCACACAGGACACTAAAGAGAGCAGGCTTCATGCGGTGGCAGTTGAGGGCGTGTTTCCTAGGGAGGAAGGGGAAAGAACAGTTGAGGAGCTACAGGAACAGAGGCAGGGCAGGGTGGTGGGGGGGGACCATGAGGGTGAGGGGGAGCCTGGGAACAAGAACGGAGGTAGAAAGTGGGGGTGAGGACAGGACGGAGTTGTGGGGGGGATTCTTGGGGAGGGATCGGCTCCTGGAATGTGGAGATGTGGTGAAGCTGCTTGGCTTTAGGAAGATGAAGGGAAGGTGCGGGCAGCAAGATAAAGGCACCGTGGGCATGCACGGGGCTGTGGGAAACGGGCCTAGAGGGGGGTAGAAGGGGAATTTGGAGGAAGCCGACATGAGGGTGACTAGGTAGATTTCAGAGGAAAAGAGATGGAGATTGTGAGAAGAGTCAGAGTTTGAGGTGCCAGAGGAGGGGCGGGGGAGTTCAATACAGAGATGTATGGAGGGTCCTGGGACTGAGCAAGGCAGGAGGCTCTGAAACTCCTAGTGTCTGGCTGAGCAGGGGCCAAGGGCTGGATGAGGGCCCTTGGAGGCTGGACCATGGTGGAGAGGAGTGGTAGGAGCTTTGGGGAGGGCTGAGGGCTGGAGGGGATGGGGGTGGGCTGGGGGGAGAGTTAAGAAGACAGCATAGCAGTTTCTTAGTCTGAGAGCCAGAACCAGGCTCTGGAGGTGGAAGGATGTTCCAGGGGAGTATGGGGGGGGCGGTGAGACCACCCTGGGCTTCCCTCTTTGAAGGTTTCAGGGTCTGGTGGAGAAGGGAGGTTTGAGAGGGATGGCTTATCTTGGGGCTCCCAGGAGTAAGGAGAGAAGAGAGCTGTAGGATCCTGGAGAGGATCCTGGAGTGGGGGGTGGGGGTGGGGACTCCCAGAAGATTCAGAGCTTGTGAATGGGGCTTCAGCTGGGTCTGTGTAGGGTCCCGGGGTGGGGGCACTCACTTGGCCTGGGCCTCGTCCAGGCTCTGGTCGGTGATGGTCATTATCTGCTGCAGAATGTCCCCGATGTCTTGCTTCCCTCGGCCTCCCGGGACCCCCCCGCTACCCCCACCGGGGTCTCCGCCGCCGGGAGGCTCGCCAGGGCCCCCAGGCTCCCCACCCACCAATCCCAGGCCCCCCCGGCCTCCGCCTGGAGGGGGCGGCCCCAGCAGCCGCTCGTCCATAGTTGGGGGGGGGCCCTGAGGCCCCCTCCCTGCTCCGCCCCTCCCCCCGCCTGGTTACTTCCCCCCCCAAACTCGGTGGGGCCGCTGGTCCCTCCGCCCCAACCCCCACCCGTTTTCCCCCTCCCGACTCCCCCGGAGGTTCACCCTGGCCCTGAAGGGAGACCTGGGGTACCGGCTGGGCCCCCCACAGGAGACCCCGGCCCCCGGCGGCGGAGAAAATGGAGCCGGAGAGAGAGAGGAGGCCCAAGCGGGGGTGTGTGAGAGAGAGAGAGGGAGGAGGGAGGAGGGAGAAGGGGGGGAGCGAGGAGGGAGCCTGGGGGAGGGGAGCCGGGGAGGAAGAGGAGGGGAGAAGAGAGGAGGAACAGGGAGGAGCTGGGGGCGGAGAGAGACACAGAAACAGAGGAACTGGGACCGAGTGGAGGAGGGGAGAGGGAAGAGGGGACGAGGGGAGGAGACTAGACCTTCGGGGAAAATACGCGAAGGCCCCGGGGCTGCGTGTCGTCGGCCTGGGAAGCGGGGCCTTGTTGGGGCTAGGGGGCCGCCAGCTGGGTTCCGAATTAGGGATCTAGGTGTTGTGGGCCCTGGCCGCTAGAATGCCTGGGTTCACAGACAGCTCAGTTCATATTTCTTGTCCTAATGACTCCCCTCCCTGTTCTACTTAATTAAAACCAGGAGAGGGGGGCTGGGGGGTATAATTAGGGAGGTCTCCAGCCGTTGCTTAATGAGCCAGTAATTAACCAGCCAGGGAGGGGAGCTGGCCTCTCGCCAGACTTAGGGAGAGAGGCGGCCTCTGGCCTCACCTTCCTCCCTCCTTCCTTCGCGCCCCCCCCCCCCCCCCCGCAGCCCCAAACACCAGTCTTCTTCAGTTCGGAGGAGAATTACATTTATTCATACAACCAAAACATCAGACTCAGAGCAGCAGTGGGGAGGCGGGGGTGGGGGGGGATAGGGGTGGGGGGGTGGGCAGTGCTAAGTGTCCATTCACAGCCTGTAGGCCCCTCAGTCCTGGGGCTGGGGGTGCTGGGGGTGCGGTGGGGGAATGATCTCTCCCTTTGCAATGCCCTCTCTCCCTTATTACTGAGAAGGAGGGTGGAACTGTCTGTCAGGCCCTAACCTTGGGAGATTTGCCTTTTTTTGGGAGATGGAGGCCTGAGCCCTCAGATTCTGCCTAGTGGCTAGACCACTGGGGGTGTCTCCACAGCTCAGGACTTACTGCCACTACTTGGGATCAGGGGAGGGGGTAGGGTGTCCCTCAGTGGCTGGGATCCTTTCACTGCTTCAAGCTCCTACATACTGGGGCAGGGAGTTAAATGACCATCCTACTGACTATGCCCAGGGTTTGAGGACTTTCACCACCTCCATTCCCAGGAAAGGTGGATGAGGGTGATGAATATTGAGATTTCTCCTGGGTCCTCCAGTCTCTGGTGTCCCTGCCAAGCAGGAGTTGAGGGCATGCCGTGGGCTGCCCAGCTTTGAGCCCCAGGAGTGCGGAGTGGCTGGTAGGGGCGGGCTCAAGTCTCAGCAGGTATGTGTGGGGGGCCGGGACCTTTGCTCCTCCATTCGACCCCCACCCTGAACTCTCAGCAGCAACTCCAGGAGCTCCTGTCCCCCTGGGGGTAGGGGAGGCTCTGACCGCTGGGCTTCCATCCGCTGGCACTGAAGGAGTGGAGGGAAGGGAGGGTGTTTGTGAGGTTTTAAGAGGAACAGGCCTTGAAAGGAGCCAAGGCTGGTGAAGGGGAATAGGGGACACCTGTAATGGGCACGGGGGGACTAGGCCTGGCAGGGGGGCAGGTGCTGGGGAGAAGGGGTAGGGCTCAAAAGACAACAAGGGCCAAGGGACCAGGAAGCCTCAGTCTTGCCTTCTGGGGAGGTGTCTCACCTGGTGACTGAGAATAGTGCTGTAGAGCTGTTCTCTGTCCTCAAGAGGCCGGAGTGGGGCTGGGGCTATGCTTGGGAGGTTCTGGGGGATGTGGAAGGTGGCTCTCTGCTCCTCTAGGCGGCGGGACTGGGCCTCAGCCACCAAATCCAGAAGGAGCTCAGTCTGTAGGGAAAGCAGGGAGGCGGAGCGGGGCCCCAGGGCTGGGGAGAGGAGGGGTAGGGCTCAGAGACCCAGAGAAATCGGCAGACAGGAGGGTTGGTAGTGCAAGGTGATTAGGCACTTGGGGTCAGAGCTGAGGGGGTGTAATGGGGAGTCAGGAGGAGGTGGGGAGAGGGCCCACAATGGAGTGGGCCTTGGTAATGGGATCAGGAAGGACGTGGGCACCAAGGTCAGGGAGCTCCCTGGGCGGGTGAGGGTACCTGTGTGGCGGGTTCCTGGAGGAGGAGGGGATGGAGGAGCAGATCGCCAAGGCCGAGCGGTGGTGTTCACAGGGGGCCAGTCAAGCTCATCCTGATGGGGGCCCTGATCCTGGGAGACATCCGGTCCAATTAGGCAGGGGTGTGGTGGGCAGGGGGCTAGGCCAACAGCCCATTTCCTCTCTCGGTGTGTCTCTGTTCCTGCCTCAGTTTGCCCAAGCCCTTCTAAGTCCCCTGAGTCCCCTGTTACTACGTCGCTGCCCCAGGTCTTCTCACCTCCCTTTCTCCCAGTGTCAGCCTCCCCGACCCGGTGCGCAGCTCACCTGGTCACCTTCCTCTTCTTCCTGGGGTCTCTCGGCCTCCATCCCCTGGGGGGGAGAAACTGATGGGGGGAGGGGTAGCTGGGATTTGGTAGGAGGGCTGGAACCCTAGGTTCCTGAGGGGAGTGGGGGCTGGAAGGGGTGGGGGTGAGCCAGGGGCTAGATGCCTGGGTACTGAGCAGGAAGCTGGGTTCCTGGTCAGCCCCCCCACGGGCCCCGCCCATCTCTGTCAACTTCCTCCAGTTCTCTTTTCCCACCCAAACTGCTTGCTCGACCTCTCTTGCCCCAGGGGAGCACAGAGACTGTGAAAAGCTCTTCCAGCTGCAGTAGTGGAGGGGGTTCATGATGGGGAAGGACTCTTGGCCTTCTCGAGTCTCAGTAGACCCCCAACCCCAGGCTCTGTTCTCTCCATTCCCCTCCTCCCCTTAAGCTCTTTCTGTCAACACAGGAACTAGCTACACAGGAAGTGGTTTTACTCCTCAGAACCCCCCCTCCCACCCCCAGGTCCCTTTCCTAAGAGGACCCCGATGTGGGCCTTGACCCTCCCCTGTGTCCCAGCTTCCCACAGACTTATGGGGACTGGGAGGGGCATGGTTCCAGTGGGAAGCAGAGGACTGAGAACCAGGGATGTTGGGCCCTCAGACATATACATATACCCCTGGCAGCGGCTCCAACACATGGTGAGTATTCAATAAATATGCGTTGAATAGTTATCCCTGCCCTCCAGGTGCTTACTGTCTATTCAGGGTACAAGGTATGTACCAAATGTGAGACGAGGGTCAGGGGAAACTTTCCTCTGGTCATGAATGAAGGATATAGAAATAGAAAAGGGAGACAACCACCTCCGTGGCTTGGTCCCAGTGCTGGTCAGGCTGCCTGGCACCAGGGTGGGAGCAGGACTGAGATATTTTAGGACCTCTAAATGGCAACCTGCTATACTGTGTTTACAGCTGAGTGGCTGGGAGCATGAAATGTGATGAAGAGATCTGGTTCTACCACTTAATGCCTTGAAATCTTGGGCAAATAAAATCTCTGTGCCTCAGTTTCTCAAAGAGTAAAATGGAATTTTGACAGCACCTGCCTTGTAGAGTTGATGTGAGGATTAAATGTGATAAAAGTATTTGGCGTATATTGAATGCTCAATAAATGGTAGTTACTATTGGCTTGAAAGCCAAAATGCCTCATGCCTCCATGTCTCAGGCCCATCACCATTAAGGAGGTATAACCATGTTTCTGAAAGGTGGATAATGTTTGAGACGCTCTCTCCATCTTCCTCAATTTGAGGCTTTAGGAATAACTAAATGCCCTTGGAAGAAGACAAAGGATATGCATGGTCGTGTGTGTGTGTGTGTGTGTGTGTGTGTGTGTGTGTGTGTGTGTGTGTGTGGTTTCTCCCTGGGCTATGAGAGATTCCTGCCTTCAGATGATACTTTAAATTAACACAGTACCCCCAAATCTACTTATTCTTGTTCTTGAACTGTACTTAAAGCTCCATCCAAAGGGATGACTTTGACCTTAGGGCACAAAATTCTGAAAACACTATGCAGTCATTTCCATATTTTTTCCCATTCCACTCAACTCATCCAAAAAAAGGTTGACTTCAAATAAGCTTTATTATGGGTTGACAGTTTTTCTTAAATACAGTGGTGACCAGAAGAATGGCGCCTCATCCCTGCGATGGTTTGTTGAGGAGGGAAGTGGGGAGAGTGCAAGGAATCATCAGCCGGAGTGGTCCCTGCCCCCCCCCCCACTTCAGCACCTACACCAGTGCCTGGCACATAGTGGGCACTCAATAAATATTTGTCAGCCATTTGTGGGAGGTGGCTGTAATGGGTGATAGAGGCTTCCTTTGGATACCATATACAGGAAAGAACGTCTTACATCCTATATGTCTGCAGTTACTGGTTCCAGTTCAGAGGTACTTCCCCAGTTCCACTTCACCCTTCGGTAGCCTCTCACCCTTATTTTCTGGGAGAAGGGCTGGGCCCTCGTCATTCCAGCACCCTAAACCCTTTTTCCAGGGCTGCAGTTTCTCTACGTGGAAGACGGAGTGGGCAAACACTCATTTGGGGAGGACAGCATACTCATGACCCCTCACTTTTGGGGCTTCAGGATCTTAAAATCTGGAGTCTTTCCAGACTGTCCTATAATGGGTGCCCACTTTCAGAATCCCTCCCTGTCACGTAGCGTCCTATTTTTGACCCTCGCCTCCCGCATTTAAAGGTATTACTTGGTGGGTCGGGGGACCCCAGGCAACTTGAGGGGATCCCCGCTCCGGGGACGGCGTAAGACAGGGAGGCGGGATCGGAGTGTTGGAGGTGGGGCCGCAGGTTCCCAGGGTCACCCAATCGCAGGGCCAGTCATCAGCCGAGGCCATACCCCCGCTCCCGGAAGCGACCCCGGATCTTCCTTGCACTATCGCTGGGTTGGGCCGAGGCCCGCGCATGCCTGCAGAAAACCTACGGGCTCCGGGGGGCGGGCCGCCTCCTGCTCCTCCTTTCGAAAGACTCTGGCAATGAGAGTAGGCTCCGCCCCCACGCGCGGCCCATTCTACGGACAAAGTCTGGGCTTGCAGACATGCTCCGCCCCCACGCGGGCCGGCTCCGGCCGACAGCGTCCGGCAGCGCGACAGAGCCCCGCCCCCACGCGGGGGCAAGCTTCCCGACGCGGTCCGCGAGCGGGGTAAGGGGCCCGCCCCCCGGCCCGGCGTGGTTTTGTGATGCGCCTCCAGTGACCCCGCCCCCTCCAGCAGCGTCAGCAGATCCCAGTGGTTGCGCTGGCGGGCGATGTCCCCGGGCGCTAGCCCAGCCTGGTCCCGCAGTCCCCGGGCTGCTCCCAGGCCCAGCAGCAGTTGAGCTACCTCCACCGCCCCTTCTCGGGCCGCGAGGAACAGGGGCGTCTGCTCCTATGCCGGAAGAAATAGCCAGGGGGGCGAGGTCAGGGAGGTCCACGCCCACAGGGTGGCTCTTCCGGGCTCCACCCACTTGGCCACTGGCCCTTCCCCCTTCAGGTTGGGTGGCGTTCCCGCGCTTTCCGCCTCTCCCACGCCCCGTTTTGTTTTGTGTTTGTAGGGAACCAGCTCCCGGTCTAACCCTGCTGTCTTGGGCGTCTTTATCGGCTCCGGCCTGGAGAAGGGAGCGGGCGGCCCGGGCGTTGTTCACGGCGGCGGCCCAGTGCAGCGCGGTTTTTCCTAGAAGACGACGTGGGTGGTTGTTACTCTGAGGTTGGGGAACAGACGCCTGCGTTCCTCTTTCCCACGGATTCTGGTTTTGGGGGAAGGACTTATTTGGGCCCGCGGGGTTACCTCAAAGGCGGAAGCGTTGCCCGGGTGACCGCCGGCCGGCAGGAAGCCTTGCTTCTCGTCACGTCACCGGCGCGCGGGAGGGACAATGGGGCATTGTTCTGGGCTCGGTGGGACCGGGAGACCTCCCCCCACTAGACCTCTGCCCCTTCTCCCAGACACTCCTTCCTCAGCCTAGTTTCCAGTGGGCTAGGGCGGTGTGTGTATGTTGTTGAATAGGGATAGAGTTCCATACTGACATCGCCCCGCAGATTTACCACCGGGACAGCTAGGTGGGAGGGAATCCCCCAGTCTCCAGTTGGTCCCTCTGCTGCTTCCTTTTTTTGCATCTTATCTCACACCCCATCTGTGCCACTTCTCCATAGCACAACTCCAACCTCTCCAGATCCGTACCCCATTTATCTCTCGCCCCCACATCTGCTTGGGCTGCGATCAGTTCTTCAACCAGGTCCTCCACCGCCAGCCTGGCGGCCAGCATCAGGGCTGTTGTCCCGTCCTCTGTCCGTGCATCCACTGCAGTCTGTCTGCTGCGGAGTAGGAGCTGGGGGTCCAGAGAGGGCCAGTGACCCTGGTATGTCCTGGACAGCTAGCTCACACTCTTAATCAGCTCCAAATCCGTATATGGTCATCTGTTTCTCTTTCAGATCCCCAATCTCACATCACCTTCCTCTCTGCCAAACCCTAGGGGATGCTTTTCCTCGCTTTACTTAGGAGTTTGCCCCCTGTTCCCCTTAGCGACCCCGGTATGCACTGACCTGGCAAACCTCCCGAGCATCAGCAGCCACAGCGGTGTGAAGAGGGGTGCGCCCTGCTCGGTCTGGCTGGTTGGGGTTGGCTCCAGCCGCAAGGAGGCGGCGGGCAGCGGTTGGCCGGGAGAATCGGGCAGCCAGGTGTAGGGGCGTCTCCCCAGTGCCCACAGTGTGAGCCTGGGGACAGGCCCCTCCACCCAACAGGGGTTCCCAGGGCTCAGGGCTTCCCAACCATGCCCCCTGGAAGGTCCTGGACTCCACTCCCCCACAGCAAACTGCTGACATCAGGGGTGTCACCCCATCTGTGGGTGGGAGACATGAAGAATGGGAGACAAGTCAATCAAAAGGACATAACTGGGAGAGGAGAGCATAGAGGTTCAGGGAGAATCGTAGCCTGAGGTGTCAGGAAGCCCAGCTCTGGCTCTTGATTTTGTGTGGCTTTTGTCAAATGACTTTTTTACTTTTCTCTGTGCTTCAGTTTCCTCATCTGTAAAAGGAGCCGGTAGGCCTTAATTCTTAGACATTCTAAAGCAGTGGTTCTCAAACTTGAGTCTGGATCAGATTTACCTGGAGGGCTGGTTACAACACACATTCTCCAATGTCTCAAATTTCTGAGTCAGTAGTTCTGGAGTGGAGCCTGAGAATGTGTATTTCTAACAATTTCCCTGGTGATGCTGATTCTTCTGCCCCGGGACCACACTTTAAGAATCACTATTCTAAGGCACTAACTCTAACATTAATTTTCTCAGTTCTAATATCAAAAGGCTTTCTGATTCTAAAAGAGTCAAAGGGAGTTTTCCTTTTTTTGGTCTGGGTTGGCTCACATACCGGGTCCACGGGTGTCCACGTCAGGGACATCCATCTCCGATTCCTGGGGAGGAGTCAGCATGGCTGCCTGGGGGAGCTCCTGACAGTCACCGCTCAGAGGCCAGAGCGGGCACTTGGAGGGTGAGGCCGTTTCTTCAGCCTTAGGATCAGAACAAAGATCAGTGAAGGAAGGATGACTCGTCCCTTCAACTCTGCCATTACCTCAGGACCATTCCTGCCCCAGTGCTTTCACCTGGCCCACCTCCTCTCCTTCCTCGGGGCCTGAGCACATCACAACTCCATCCTCATCAACTTCTGCATCTGGCTTCAGTGCCCTGGAAGGGGGTGTTTGGGTAGAGGACCGTCAGGGTCCCCAGGATTTCCAGCAGCCTTCCTCCCCCTCTCCCCTTCCTCTGTCATCAACTTCTGATCATAAATATCTCCACAGGAAAGAGTCCCCTTCTTGAGTCCCTTTCCTCCTCACTCTTACTTGAGGCCAATGCTGTCTTCACCCAGGGGAGGCCGGCGTCTGCGGGGAGCCGGCTGAGTTCGAGGCCTTCTAATGAACCCAGGGGGCAGCCAGAGGGCCCCGTGCTCTCGGCGCCGCCTCCGGATGAGCTGAAGGACGAGAAGAGCCCCAAGGGCCAGGAGAAGCACCCCGGCCACTGGTGAGCACAGCACAGGCCAGGGAAGCTGGTTGGTGGGTGGTGCTGGCGGGAGAGACACAGTCACAAAAAGAGACCATTTCTCGTGAGGCTGGGCACTACTCTGAGACTTTTGGGCAAGTGCAGTAACTTCTTTCATCAGTTTCCTCATCTGCAAAGTAGGAATCATAATAGTACCTGCCACATGGCATTGTTGGGAGAATTAAATGAGTTGATACTGTAAAGCCCTTAGAACAAGGCCTGGCACGTAGTAAGTGCTATATGGGTTATGATTCTTTCGTGTCCCGTGAGCTGTGTGACAGAGGGATGATTGGATTTAGTAGAGAGGATGGACCAGGTGATAAAGGTTAGGATAAAGTACGTAGGGAAATGAGGAAGGAGATTGAAGAGCAAATGGGCCATGAGGAGATCCACTTAGAGAATGAGAGGTTCACGAGGGTCAGTCTCCACACAGAACATTTGGGGTCCCTGCAATCCTGTGTCATTTGGCTTCCATTGCTGCTTGCTGGCATGGAAGTGGGTCTGGGAGCAAGGTCAGGGGAGATGAGGGGGGTCACCTACCGGTGCCAGCACGAGGATGGGCAGCCAGCAGGGGGCCCGGCAGCAGGTGCTCCAGGGCCCCCACTGCCGCCATGGCGGCCAGGAAGCGGAGCAGGAGCCCAGGATCCCAGGGACAGCGGGATGCAGGGTGGTCAGGGCCACAGCGGGACAAATCCACACCCATCACCACCACAAACCTGTGGGGGAGGCGCCACAGAGACGCCTGTGTTGGTCCCTGGCTCCCTTCCCTCCACCCATCAAAAAACCGGTGTCTGCTGCATCCCCCTGCCCGGCCTTCTTACCCGGTGCTGAGAGAGTCCGTCTCCTTGCCCACAGGCTGTGTGTGAGGGGTTGCTCTCTCCTGATGTGAGGGGTCCAGGGCTCCTCCTAGCTCCTCTTCGGCCTGGGCCCCAGGATAGGGGTACACCATGTCCTTGCCATCACTATCCTTCCTTACCCAGAGCCCCACTCTCAGAGTCAGGGATAGGACCCGGGCCAGGGCCAGCAGCTGCTGGTCCAGGGCTGGGGGGCTCAGCACCACCAGCAGGGCCAGGGAGGGCCCCCATTCTGAATCCCCATCTGTAGGCCTGCAGTCACCCCCATCCCAGCCACATTCGGCAGTGTTGCAGCCTTTCTCGCAGTGCCCGTTGTGGAAGTGATCGTGGCAGTACTGGTCATAGGCTGGACTGTGGGGTGAGGAGAGGGGGACTCAGGATCCCCAAAGAAACCTGATCTCCTTCTTCATTCCAGAGAGATGCCTGATATTCCACTGCCTCTAGGGCACTGGTTGCTAAGTGGGGAGAGCTCTGGAGCAGTGGGCTTGGTCAGGCCCTGGATGGCAGGTAGCCCAGACCCTCTAATGTCTGTGATGCCTTTGTCTCCTAAGACTGTCCCCTCTTCCCATTGTCCCAAGCTCTCCTGTCTCCCTGAAGGAGAGTCCAAGGCCCTTTTCCCTCAGGGGTGCTGGTTGCTAGGGGAGATCCTCCATGGCAACGGGGCATAGAGAAAGAGGCCTGAGGCCAGAGCTCCCACAGCTCTTAGAGAGGAGCCCAGACAGAGGCAGTACCCTCCTTCCCGGTCCCCATGTTAAATAGTGATGCTGCCCTCCTCCCCTGGGCAGGAGCCTAGTGTCTTCTACCCCTACTTAGCAACAGTTATTAGGGTGGAAACTCCCTGGAGCCTGAGGCTGTGGTCACACTGCAACCCAGAGGCATCTGTGTCCTTCCTCCTGCCTCACCCTGCCCTCCCCGCCCCCACCCCCAAGTCAGGGTTTCAGGCTCACGTGCAGGCCGGAGGAGTCTCACAGTCGTAGCCATCAAACAAACACTCTGCAGAGTCGCACTGCGGGTGGCACTGCCCATCCCGGAAGAGAAGCCAACACCGGGAGTGGGAGGGGCAGCCCTTCCAGGGGTCCGGGACCCCCAGGGAGCAGTCTCCCCCATCCCAGTTTCCTCCAGGGCCGCTGCAGCCAGCGTCACAGGCCCCATCTCCACCTCTGCCTTCACATCCCTTTGCTCCGGGCCTCTGACACCGGGGCCCTGGAGAGCTGGGAGGGCAGGAGCATCGGAAACCTGGGGCCCCCAGCCCGGGGGTCTCTAGGCAACTGCCATTGTGTAGGCATGGAGAAGGAGGGCCACAGCCGTGAGGAGCTGGTGGGGTCAGGCAGTCAGGGCCCCCGTAGCCATTGAGGCAGGCACAGTGGGGTGGGAAGCCCGGCTTGGGGGAGGGCAGACACAGGCCACCATGGTGGCAGTAATGGAGGCCGCAGGAGGGGGCTCTGTGGCTGCAGGTGGGGCCCTCAAAACCCTGTGGAGAGGAGAGAAATATTGGTGGAGGCCCTTGTCTTATTCTTTCCACCCCCCGCCAAGCAAACTCTTGGGTTAAGATAATTCAGAGGGTTCTATAGTCTCATATCTGGAAGGGGCCTCAGAGAACCTCAAGTTCATCATTTTATAGATGTTGAAACCATGGTCCATGGTATTTTCACACAATGGCATATTACACAGTGATGAAAATGGATGAACCACAGCTGTGGCAACAACCTAGGAGACTAAGCACTTAGAGAGTGGTAGTAATTAAATTAATATTATCTTCATCTTTGGACTTAGGATTATATACTTTCTCTTTCTCTGGAAGGGGAACAGGATAGAGAAAGACATAAGTACATGAGTTATCACTGCTACGGTAATTCTTAGGTTAGGTTTATGGGGTGTTACGTTATAAGAAAAATACAAAGAAGGCTGTGCACAAACCAATGATGTTACTGTATCATGATCCAAGGCTTATGATTAACCTGATTTCATGCATCTGAGGTCCATAAACACACACACACACACACACACACACACACACACGCACGCATGCACAGGTAAAAGAACTTTCCAGGGTCTCACCCAGCTTGACTTGGGGGCCTTCTCTTAGGCAGTGCCCATGATTTCCGAAAATTCCATTTGTGCTACCACCTGACCCTGCCTTTCCCCCTGAACTGCTTCTGAGTCACTCACCCCGTAGCATGGGCTAGCTTTCGCTAAGAATTACCCTCTAGGACCCCAGCTCAGGCATTCTCGCCTTGCATCAGTGCTGGGGGCAACAGGGAAGACAGCTTTGCAGTCACTCACCTGGGGGCAGTGACAGGTGAAGCCCAGGGGTGGTCCCACTGTAGTCTCACAGGACCCCCCATGGGAGCAGGGCTGGCTCTGGCAGGGGTCTGTCTCCACTTCACACCACTGGCCTGTGGTGGGGTGGGATTAGATGTCACATACGGCTTTGGTCGCTGCCTCCTTCCTAGCTCATTCCTGGGAATTGACCCAGCACTACATGCATGGGCAGAGGGATCCTGGGGCTTATTCTCTGGGGTGCGGTGTGGAGGCAGGGGGATGGACATGTTGACTAGGTTGCCTTGTGGGTGGGGATTGTGAGCTCGGTTGTGCCACAGAAGGGACTGCACACACCTTCCCAGGCCTCACCTGTGTATCCAGGCAGACACTGGCAGTAGAAGGCATTGGCCAGAGAGTGACAGGCTGCCGTGCCTGTGGGGTGGCAGGGCTGGTCCAGACACTCGTCTACGTCCCCCTCACAGCGCAGCCCCACAAAGCCTGGAGGGCAGGTGCAGGAGAAGCCTCCAGGTTTGGGGGTGCAGGTCCCATGGTTGTGACAGGGCTGGGATTGACAAGCATTGGATTCCTTCGAGCAGTTCTGTCCACTGTAGCCTGGGGCACACTGTGGGCAAAGAGGGTCAGACGGAACCAGTCATCCAGCCCATCCCAACACTACAGGGGACCCAGCTCAAGATTGTCTGCCCGGCTCTCTCCCACCTTCCAGTTCAAAGCATCATTTAACTCACCATCCATCACAGCCCTGTGTAGCCTAACCCTTCTGTCTCAACTCCATGATACACAGTGGTTTAGTGGTGTGCAACTTAGCCCCTCCAGCAGTCCCAAAGCATCTTATGGTGCATTGCCACTAAACAATAGCTCTGTTTTTGGTAAGATCTCCCTCCCCCAGCCACACTTCCACCAGGCTCTGTCATGCTTTATTAATTTTTTTTAAAAGGTTTTATTTATTTATTTGACAGAGAGAAACAGCCAGAGAGGGAACACAAGCAGGAGCAGGGGAGTGGGGGAGGGAGAAGCAGGCTTCCCGCAGAGCAGGGAGCCTGACAAGGGGCTCGAGCCCAGGACCCTGGGATCATGACCAGAGCCGAAGGCAGATGCTTAATGACTGAGCCACCCAGGTGCCCCTTTATTGATTAATTTGTAAGCATTTACTGAATGCCTACTTTGTGCCAGGCACTGTTTTAGGCACTAGGAACATGAAGAGAATTAGAACTCCTCCCCACTTCCATGAAGTTCTCATTCAACCAGAAGAGAGAGACTAGCTAGCATTTATTACATGATTTTTATACATAACCTCATAAAACTCTCCCCCAAACCCTGCATGTGTGTTATCTCATTTGATTCTCACTTTACAGAAAAGGCAAACGATTCCTGGAAATACTGAGTGACTTGCACAAGTTGGTGGCAGAGCTTGGATTCAGTGTGAGTCTGTGATGTCCTAACCGGTGCCCTTAAGCATTTGGGGATTGTTTCATGCCATTCTGCTAGTGGGAGAGGGGTCACTGATGAAGTTCTGTACTGTGGGCTGAGTTTTTGCAAGAGCAAGGAGAGCACAGTGCCAGCAAGGCTTCAGAAAGGTGGAGAAAGAGGGGATTACAGAGAATCCGGGGAGTGGCCAGAGGGTTGGGAGAAGCAGGTGAACGGGGTGTTTGGGGATATCTGACGGAAGGAGTCTCAGGAAAAGGGAGGTAAAGCTGAGTCATGGGTGCCGGGGTGTTCACTATTAATTAGTACACTGCTTTTGTGTATGTTTGAAAATGTTCATAACAAAAAGTTAAAAAAAATTAAAAAATTATAGAGAATGGTTAGGGGATCCACATCATGCCTTTTATTCAAAGTCAGGGTCCTTTTTTTTTTTTTTGAGAGAGAGAGAGAGAGAGAGACACCGACACCTCCCCCCCAAAAGAGGGTGAGGGAGAGAATCTTAAGCAGGTTCCATGCCCAGCAAAGGAGCCTGATGCAGGGCTCGATCTCATGACCCAGAGATCACGACCTGTGCTGAAATCAAGAGTCAGATGCCGACTGAGTCGTTCAGGCTCCCCCAGAGTTGGCATCAGGCATCAGGCTGCTCGGACTTGAATCCCAGCTTTGCCTCTGCTGTTCAGTGACTGGAACCACCAGAGAGAGGCCCAAACCCAGACTGGAGAGAAGTTAGGGGCATTTTCCTGAGCAAGGTGCCTCTTGGGCACCATCCAGTGGAAGAGGGGTGAGGAAGGGCACAGAAGAGCCAGTAAACAGGGTGTGTAGGGAAGCCAGCCGCAGCTGGAGCAGAGAGTAGGAGGGTGGGGGTGGGGTGAGATAAGACCCAAGGGTCAGGCCAGGCTGGGTCACTTGGGCCTCGAACTTCACTGTCAAAGAGGTGGGCAGCCACTGAAGCGTTTTAAGCAGGGGAGTGACAGGTCAGCTTAACATTTTCCACAGAGCACCCTGATGGTTGAGTAAAGGCTGAGCCTCCAGGCAGACAAGTTCGTGGGCAGGGACAGGGTGCTCCAGGCCTGCACAGATTATGCCCCACAGGCAATGGGACAAAGGGTGAAGGAGGAAGGACAGAGTTGAGAAAGATTTAGGATGCAAAAGAACAGGGCTTGGTGGTGGGTTGGATGTGTGGGGTAAAGAAAGGAAAGGGAGATGAATCCATCAGTGCCCCTCCCAGTGGCACTGCCCTAGTGCCCCCCCCCTCCGCCCTGTGCAGCCCACCCTTGTCTCCCCTCCCCAGCTCTTCTCTAGACCTGCTCACCTGGCAGAGATACCCACTGGGCTGGGCTATGCAGGTGGCCCCGTGCTGGCAGGGCCTGGACTCACATGGGTTCACTCTGTCCTGGCATATACCGCCTTGGAATCCAGGAGGGCAGCGGCAGAAATACGAAGAGCCACTGTCGATGCAGAGGCCTCCATTCTGGCACAGGGAAGAAACTTCTGTGCCTGAGGAGAGAGGCAGACAGGGATGGGCACAGCTAAGTGGGGTGGAAAGGTTCTTGGGGCCCCAGACGGAGCAGAGAGGCTCTTGGGGATCACTAACATTCCTGGGGTGGGTGGAGGCCACTTGGAGCCTGAGGAGTCAGTGACTTCTGGTGCTGAAGAGGTTATAACATCAAGATCCCCCTCCTGCCTGTTCTGCCAGAATGGAGAGAGATACCTCTTGTTAAACTTATTAGACCATTATAAGCAACTGTATTCTTGGTTTAAAACAAGTCTCAGGCAAGCAAGAACTCAAAGGAAACTTTGGGGGTGGGGGGGTTAATTAATGGCTCAAGTCTGTCCCCTGAATTTGCATCCCCTGATGTTTTCTCACTGGGATTCCCATCCCCTAACCCCACAGGAGGCTCCTTCCTGAGTTCTGTTCGTATTAAGCCTCATATGAATAAGGGGCGTATTCTTTTACAAGGGGGTTGACATAACATCCCAGTGAGTGGGGAGCAGCAGTTGAGTTGAGTGCAGTTGGGTTCAGTGTGATCTACTCTAGATGCATTATGATGGTAATGACAGAGTTGAGTTGCTTCACGTTGAGTTATGTCCCAGTAGTTGTGTTAACCTGGAGTCTTGTTGGCTGGACTGGTTGGTGTTGCTTGAGTTGTGTTGAGCATGGTGATAGAAGTTGAGTTGTGTTAGGTTGCCCCAAGGGTGAGGCTGTAGAATCAGTCATAATGTTTGTTCTGTGTTACTTTGACTCTCATTTGGTTGTTTTGGCCAAATGTTGTGTGTGGATGCCCTCAGGGATCAGGTAGAGGGGGACACCCTTTCTCTCTTTATCTGCTCCCCAGTTGGTCCTTGGGTTAGTACCTTGGCTCAGAGCGGCCTTCTGACAGGACAGTGGCAGGTTGCAGAGAGGCCCGGTCCATCCTTGGAGGCACAGGCACTGAAAGGAGGGCCCAGTCTGGAGGCAGTAGGAATTGTGTAGACAGGGCTTCTGGGCACATAAGTCCATCAGAGTCTGAGGTTTGGGAGGGAGCATGAGGCAGGACAGAATATCATGTTTCTCGGCCCAGAGATGGTCTTCGGCTAGCTCCTCAAAATCCTCACCTCCCGGACTCTCTCCTGAATGGCCTGGGGCCAGGTGATAGCTCCCCTCCCCCACCCTGGTTTCCTGTGATACTCACGTCCCTTCTGTTCCAAGCAAACCTCAAGCTAGACCTCCACTCCCAGATCCCAAACCCCCTTTCCTGTGGATACTTCTCCCCAGCTCCCTGCTCTGTCTTCTAGAACCGGAGACCCTCCCACCACCGCCTCAGCACACTTGGCTCAGCACCCCTCACCTGGCAGCTGCCTCCCGTGTAGCCAGGGGAGCAGAGGCAGTGGGGACCCTGAGGGCCATCTTGGCAGGTTGCCCTGTTCCTACAGGGGCTGGAACAGGACAGGCACAGGGCACAGTGGGAGGAAGTCCGGGCAATCAAAAGGGAGGGAGTGTGGGACATGGTGGTGAGATGGGGAACTAGAAAGGGAGGCAGGGTGAAAGGGTGTGGGATATGGAATGTGAGGCAGCCTGGAGTCCCAGAGGAGATGGAGAGGAAGGGTGGGGAGGCTGAGGGGCCCCCTCCCTTCCTCTTGGGGTCTTTGCTCACTTGTCTGCACAGCTGGGACGGGTCCTTTCCTCACAGCGTGGGCCCTGGAAACCCGCAGCACAGAGGCAGGAGGAGGTGCCAGGCCTGTTCACACAGGTACCCCCGTTGAGGCACGGGGCTGGAGAGAGGAGGCTGTGAGGGGTGGGGTTCCTTGCCTGTAACCTGGCCTGTGGCCTTAGTCACACCACGCACAGGACATACGCACCCCCCACTGCTGCGCCCGTCAAAACAGCACCCCATCATGGTGCCCAATTAATTTGTTTTCCTACGGCACAGACACACCCTGACCAGTTCCTCTCTCCTCCTGTGGCCCAGCGGGAGGACACAGTGGGCACTCACCAGAGGCACAGTGGTCAGTGCTGGTCTGGCAGCGGGGCCCAGTGTGGCTCAGAGGGCAGGTGCAGGAATAGCCCCCAGGCCTGGGGTTACAGGAGCCACCGTTGAGACAGGGCCCTGAGTGACAAGCTGTCACCTCCTCGCCGCAGGTAGGCCCTGAGGGAAATGAGTGGGGTCTGAGAAAGGGAATCCTCTACTTCCCTGCCCCTTCCTTTCCCTCATCCCCATCTCTGTTTTCTCCCATCCAACCTTTTGTCTTTTCTTACTGTCTCCCGCACATCACCTGTGTTCCCTCCCTGCAGCTCAGGCCCCGTTCTCCTTGGTGGTGACCCAGACCCAGAGTCCTTGGACACATGTCTCCACTGGCCTTGCTCTTGATTAGAGGGTGGCCAGCCCAGAATGTCTGTGGCTTAGGGAGGGCCTCACCTGTGTAGCCTGGGGGGCAGGTACAGTTGTAGCCAGAGGGCTGGGGGTGGCAGGTCCCCCCATGGGCACAGGGCATGGAGATGCAGCCCCCCAGCTCTGCTTCACATTCTGGTCCTGTCCAGCCCACATCACACACACACGAGGATCTGGTCATGAAGAGAAAGGGGAGGGTTTTTTCTTCTTCTGGTGTTTTTCTCTTCACCTGCCCTCACCAATGGTCAGACCCCTAGGACCTCTTTTTTGGTCCTGAGACTCTGGCCCCTTTCCTCAGTGGCTCTGCTCTCAGCATTGTCCCCCTTCCATACTATATGTAAGAATATGTATGTGTGTTTCTGCTATAACTGTTTATTGTCTGTCTTTCCTCATTAGAATGAAATCTCCGTGAGAACAGACGTGCTCGTGCGCCTGGGTGGCTCAGTCAGTTAAGCGGTTAAGCGTCTGCCTTCAGCTCGGGTCATGATCCTGTCCTGGGATTGAGGCCTGCGTTGGGCTCCACCCGCGTTGGGCTCCCTGCTCAGTGGGGAGCCTGCTTCTCCCTCTCCCTCTGCTCTTCCCTCTGCCACTCCCCAGCTTGTGCTCTCTCTCTGTCAAAATAAATAAATAAAAATCTTACAAAAAAAAAGAACATTTTGTCTCGTTTGTTCTGTGCAGTTCCCCCAGTGCCTAGAAAAGTATCCACACATAGTAGATGCTCAATATTTGTCTAATGTATGATGAATTGGCCCTGGGATCTAATGCTTTTCTTTCTGCTCTGACCCCCTAGCCCTCGGTTTCGCCCGTGATTTATGGACTCTGCCCCCATGGGCCTGCACTCACTAGTCACGCCCTCACGTTGGCGGTGAGCTCAGCACTTTGCCATCTCCTTCCTCTTCCCTCTCGGTCATTTCCCACAGGCTGGCGGCTCACTGGCTGTCTCCTCCTGCCCTCGCTGAGGAGGACCGGAGGACGGTGCACGTGGGGAGGCCTGGAGGGTTACCTGTGACAGCGCCCATGGTGGCAGGTGCAGTTGTCCTCAATGGGGGCACAGCCGGGGCTCCCGTCGGGGCAGAGGCAGTGGGCCTTGTCCTCCTGATCATAGCACTCTTGCCTGGGCTGGCACAGGTTGGGGGCACACAAGGGAACCTCACAGAGATGACCTGCGGTGGGGAGATGGGGCAGAGAGAAAACAGAGTCCCTCCGTGTCCTTGATGGGGCCAAAGCCACTTCTTACATATAACTTGCTCACTCCCCATGAAGCTGTCCTTCAGTGGCTCCCTATTGCTTCAGGATATGGTCTAACTTCCTCAGGATGATACACAGGGCCCTGTGTGACACGATTTTCCTATAACTGCTGCGCTCCTCAGGTTTGCTCTGTCACACCCTAAGCTCAGGATGTCCTGTGGTTCCTTAAGTAGGGTGTGCTTTTCTTCCCTCCACACCATTGTGCATGCAGTTACCTGCAGCTAAAACAAGCGCTCTATCATGACAAACTCCTACTCATTCTTCAAGACTCAGCTCAGCCATCACCTCCTCCATGAAGCCTTCTCATCGCTGGTCTTTGTGCTTCTATAGAATCCTATGCAGTCCTCTCCCAGAGCACCTTCGGACCATAACCGACAAGAGACTTCTTGGTCTCTCTGCACTAGATTTAAAGCCAGTTGAGGGGAGCAACTCTCTTATTCCACTGTGTCTGTGTCTGGCAGAGGAGACAATACGCTCCTGCTAAATAAGCAAATGAATGGCTTCCTGTTGAACCCCATCCTGTTTCTGAACCCTAATCACACCATTCATGTTGGGCTCGCTGTGGGCCCTACAGATAACATCTGCAGTCAGCCCCAGCTTGTGCGGTTGTGCAGGTTGTGCATGGAATAACTCATGGGAGTTCCAGTCTCTTTCTCTTCTCACATCCCAACCCTCAAAAACCCAGCAGTGACCTCTGCCCCACCCCAAATGGGCTCAACTCTCTGGCCAGTCCCTTCTAACACCTCCCCTGCTGACCTGTGAAGCCAGAGGGGCAGAGGCAAAAGAAGGTTCCGGGGAGATCCAGGCAGCTGGCTCCAGCGGGGCATGGGCCGCTCAGGCACTCATCCACCTCTGCCTGACAGCGTGGGCCTTCAAAGCCTATGGCACAGCAGGAAGATCAGGGACCTGCTTGGAAGTCTGCTCTTTTCCCCCACTCTCCCCTCCAGCGTTTGAGCCCTGGTTTACCTGGGAGACACTCGCAATGGAAGGATCCGGGCTGGTCCTGGCACTGCCCCCCATTGGCACAGGGAGAGCTCCCACACTCGTTGATGTCCTCCTCACACTGCAAGCCAGTGAATCCTGGTGGGGCCAGGAGTGAGTGTGGAGAGATGGCAAAGGTTGTCTTCTCTTTCCTTCCTTCCTTCCTTCCTTCCTTCCTTCCTTCCTTCCTTCCTTCCTTCCTTCCTTCCTTCCTTCCTTCCTCCCTCCCTCCCTTCCTCCCTCCCTCCCTCCCTCCCTTCTTACCTTCTTTTCTTTTTAGTGACTTTCTCTAGATTTATTAGGGAGTTTGTCACAAATATTTGTGCCTGAGCTGTACAGGTATGATTTCATGGATTTAAACAAGAAATTTAGAGCTAATACGGATATTTAGTCTTCTTTTTACATATATAGAAATAACATCGCTACAAATTGTAATGGAGAGAATCTTGTTTCAGATGGCTTGGTTTGGGGGTTCATCTACATGTTTCATTATATAATGAGGCACCAGTTTGGGGGCTTCTCAAATAGTGATTTGAGTTTCAGAACATAACAGAGAGTAACTTGGTGACTTTGTTCTTCATATAAATAAGGTATAACTGGGGTATTTGTGTCAGTGCTGAAAATCCATTATATCCAAAGCATAAATGTAAGTCCTGGCCCTTCCCCTCACCAGGAAAGGTGAACCTGGAGGGCTTCCCAGAGAAGACACCCGGGGCAGGTGGAGATGACGGGGGGATGATGCTCAGCCCCCTGCCAGCCGCGTGACTTTGGGCAAGCTACTCAAGCTCTCTAGGTTCCAGTTTCCTCCTCTGTAAAAGGGGAATAATGGAACTGACCTCATGGTGTCATTGAAAGGATTAAACGAGGGAATGCCTGAAAAGTACCCAGCCAAGGGCCTGGCCTGGAGTAGTCAAAAAACATCCATTATCATCAGAGCAGGGAACAGAGGGGTCTGGGAAGCTGGAGAAGGAAGGCCTGGGGCAGTGTTGCCCGGGTCCAGGGGAACTCAGGGCCACTCAGGCACTTGAGCAGTGCCCAAGACCAGCCCGGGATCTCCAGGAGCAGGGAGGGCACACAGAGGACTCTGGAGGAGGCTAGAAAGTGTGGTTTGGGCAATTTGGCAGGACAGAGATGAAGGTGGGTGAGCATCCAGGGAAGATTTGAGGAATGTAAAAGAGTTTGGGGAGCAGAGGAGTTGGAGAAATGAGGGCCTCCTTGGCCAGGCCAGAGTGAGCTTCAAGAGGCCTGGGGTGATCACGGGGCCTGACTGTGGGGCAAGGGTGGGGCCGGGGGCTGGAGTGGGTCCACACTCACCGGGCAGGCACTCACACCGGAAGCCGTTGAGCAGGTCGTGGCAGTCCGCCCGGTTCAGGCACGGAGCCGAGGCACACTCGTCTGTCTCCACCTCACACAGCTGCCCTTCCAAGCCTGAGGACATGGAGGTGTGGTGCGGGCTGAGGCTCAGCCAGGTCAGCCCTGCCTGCGCTGTTCGCCCCTTCTGCCCCGGAGGCCGGGGTTCTAGAACCAGCACGTGCTCCCCATCAGGCAGCCCCTCCCAGGGTGCCCTCTGCCTGCGGGTTGGGGAGATGAGCCTGGGGTTCCTGCCGCTCTGTTGTGTGTAGCCCTGCCCCCTCCAGCTGTGAAAGCTCAGGAAACAGGGCACCTGCTGGGACCTGTGGGGGCAGCAAGGAAGTACCTTTTGGGGCCATTCTCTGCATAGAAGATAGGCTCACCCGGCTGGGCTCATGAGCCCCCTCCTCAAGGTACGAATGGGACAAATGGGCATCTGCTTGGAGCTGAGTCAAACCTCTCGTTCTACCCGAGCAGGCCTCTGTGCCAGGGAGACCAGGAATCTCCAAGGGGGGGTATTTGAAGGGCATTTGGGGAGTTTGTTGGTCCCATATTTGTCCTGTATCTTCAGGCTTGTCCTGGTATCCACAGTCCCACCCTGAACTGAAACTGGATCAGCCTCCAGAACCTCAGCTGTCTCCCACTTCTTGCCTGGGGAGTCTGCTTTTGCAGTTCCTTGCTTGGATTGCTGGACCGTTTTCTCCGCTTTTGACCTGGGATGCTGCTCAGTTGAGAAAGGCTGCTTTGTGTAGTGGTTAAATCTATGGAAGCCCTGGGTTTGAATCACGGCCCTGCCACTTACTGGCCGGACAACTCCCTTAATCTCTCTGTGCCTCAGTTTCTTCATTTGTAAATGGGCACAGCAACGATGCTTGACCTCACAGGACTGTTGCCAAGATGACAAAAGGCAGGTCAGATGCTCAGGTGGTACCTGGCACAAAATAAGCTAGTATTTTTCTGGTTTCATTCAGCTTCCTGGTATTGGCTCTGTCTCTATGTCCCTGGAGAGACTTTTCTCCCCCTTAGAACTAGCTTGGAGGTAGGTGTAGCCTTGTGGCACTTTTTTTTTTTTTTTTTTGTTGTACCAAATCCAAGCACACAGGCCCTTCGGGATTTTAGGGGTTTACTCGATCTCTATAGCGGAGAGTTTTTCTGTGATTAGGAGGAACGTTCTGAGTTGGCATGAGCAGAGGCTGGTGTTCTGCTCTCCCTTGACTGGCTTCTGTGTGCAGCGGACCAGGCTGTGCACTTTACAATGACTATGAAATGAATGCTGCCCCCTCACCCCCAGACTTGAGCAGTGCACAAGCTCACTATCATCTGTGGCAGGCCTTCTCCTAGGAGCTGCGGGTTTCCCAGAGTTTTTATCTGGGGTGGGGAGATGAGAAGCATTCTTTTGTAACTGTCCCCAACTGGCCTGGGGCCTTTTGTGTTCTGCAAGGGTCATGCCTGGGGCGTTCAGGGTTAGCCCCCTGATCCTCTATCCAAGGCCCCATGCATCTGGTACCTGGTGGGCAGAGACAGTGGAAGGTGGCAAGCAGGTCCAGGCAGGTGCTGCCAGGGTGGCAGGGCTGGGACAGGCACTCATTGTGATCAGCCTCGCAGCGGGAGCCCGTGTAGCCAGGGGGACAGAGGCAGTCAAAGGAGCCAGGGGTGTTGAGGCAAGAGCCGCCGTGTTCACAGGGACTGGGGCCTTGCTGGGCTGGGAGGAGAGAAGAGTCAGGAGTCCGAGGGGGCCCGGCATGGAAGGGCAAGGAGGCCGGACTGCCAGGGAAGGCGTGAGGGCCTGTTCGTGGCAGATGAGAGCAAATCAGAGAAAGAGCCGGTGTCTTTAAGATGGAGAAGGACTAAATGGGGCCTGGAGGGCTGAGCATTGGTGAGAAGACCGTGCAGGGAAGGGATGCCAAATCCGGACAAAACCAGGAAAAAAGAGATGATTATATATTTCATTTGAAAAACAATTTGCAGAGGCTGCCTGGCGGCTTGGAGAGGCTCTGATGTGGGCGGGAGTGACGCACCCATCTGACACTCGTCCAGGTCCTGGTGGCAGGTGGGC